CTCGGTCCCCGCCGGGCCCGGCAGGCCCCAGCGCGGTGGGAGCCTGGGGCGAGCCCCGGGGCAGAGGTCTCCGGGCGCTCGGCAGCTGCCGGGTCCCGAAAGAGGAAGAGCCGCCGTCAAAAGAAGGGCGAGACGGGGCGGCCTTTAGCCGTGCCCAGCCGGGAGCGAGGCGGCGGCTCCAGTTTAAAATGACAGCTTTAATAGGCGGCCGGAGCTGCTCGAGGTGTGCGCCCGTCTGCCTGGAGCGGAGTTGCTTTGTTCAGTTCAGCTTTCTCTTTCCCCGCATACCTGCTCAAGCAGAGGTGACAACGGTAGGTCCTGGCTTGTTTTCTGAATGATTTTGCTCGCCACCCTCCTCTAACGCAGCTATTACTTATAATGGATTTTACATTGAACCTCTAGGACAAGAGTAGAGACTATTTCTGGAGCACGTATAGGATCATTTTGATGGTAACAGTGATGCGATTTTAGTATTTGTTGCACGCGTGTTCACTTAAGATTGCTGAGACTTAAGTAAAGATTGTGTTTAAATACTGAAGCTATTCTTACTGCACCCCGCATCTCCGTTCCTGTGCATCTTCACTTTGTTTTTCATGTTGCGCTTCTGCATTGCGTGCGGTTTCTTTTCCTTCTGTGGTTTTGTGCCACAGCATTGCTCTTTGTCCTTTCCACGTACACGCTTTTCAAACAATTACCTTACAGACCTGCTTTTTATGATAATTTCCTATCTGATGTTTTTGCTTCTAGGCTTTATTTTATATGGTGGATTAGAAGTTTCTTGCTAACTATGCTCAGCCTTCTTTGCGCTTAGTTACCTCACTATAAAGAAGCCAGAACTGACACACATGCAGGTGTGTAGCTGGTATCTGTTCTTTGTCTAGGTTGGTTCTACAAATACAGCTCTTGGATAAAACAACTAAGTGTCACTTACTAGCAAATGAAAATGAGTTGGTGTAGTTTTTTTAGCCTTTTTTTGCTTTTAGTTACAGCTTCAAAATTTATGAAGTGCTTTCTGTGGGTACAGTGTTGCATAAGCATTATATCTAAATACAGACCTGACTGTTGGGACATATAATTACAAAGTTAAGGATACACTCATTGAAGATGCGGTCTTGACACTTTGAAATATAACCCTGGACATTGAATAAGAATCATTTTGAAATATCTCTGGAAAAATACTTCAAACCTCTTTAGTTACTAATGTTGAAAGAATATTACAGTCTCCCAGAGCACAACAAACTGCTAAAATTTCTGTTAAGAATGAGACGTAAGTGCAGTTTCCAGATATATTTCAAGACACAGCCTGCATTGTTGCCATTCTGACTGGCAGATTCAAAATGTAACTATAGTAAATTTGATATGCTGGTACTACTAGAAAAGGCAAACTTGAAGGCATTTGTTAGAAGAGATTTTGTAAGTCTTTATGGGAATAGTTCAAGAGGTCTATGCTTAAATGCTACATTAATATGCCAGAATACATCCTGTTACTAGAGCTGTACCCTGTGAATAACATAAAGTTGTATTCCGTATTGCTTGTTTAGAAACTTGACATGGCTTTTTGGTTTTGTTCTTGTGGTTTGTTTTTCTGTTGTGTTTTGGGTTTTTTTTAAACCCAGTTGCAGTGAAATATTTTCTTTTTCATTTATTGATTTAAACTGTTGTCTTGTATACATATCTGAATGCTGTTGAACAGTTGTTTTTCTAAGTGTAATATTTATCTTTTGAATAAGCTTGTTGGTGTAAATTACTACATTATCATAATTTTGAAGTATATAGGATTGTGCAATAACATTTCACATTAAAAAAAAAAAAAAAAACAACAGCCGAAACACAAAACAGTGCATATGTACACCTGAACTCTGTTGGAAACGAAACGAGCAGTGTTGATTCCTTGTTGTCTGTTAAGTTCCTTAGGAGGATTCAACAGCAGATGTAATTTTGCGTTCAGAGACTGTGACAGTATCTTGAGTATGTAGAATCTAGATATGCTTATTTACATAAAATGTCCTTTTTATTTTTCCTGTGTCAACCTGACGTGCAGTGCTGGTGTAAGTGATTTGGGGGGGGCACAGACTAATGATGAACCTCTGAATATCCGTACTGATTGCTTGTTGTTTTGTTTAACAAAAAACAGGGAAATTTGCCACTGTACAGTACAATTGAAAAAACCAAAACAAACATTGAAAAAAAAACCAAAACAAAAACCCCCCAAGCCCAACAGCCCCATCCCCGCCCCCAACTTATGTATAGAATTATTGAAAGATTAAATTGCCAGCTTTTTCTTCAGTAAATACAGGAAGTTTATCAACAGTTTTGATTTAAAAATGAGAAAAATCTGTCAGACCTTGTTTATTAAATATTTCTTTTTAGCTGTTTGGCATATTCTCAAAAAATAATTTGAGAAATTGCTGGCAGTATTTGATACTGGAAGACGTATCTGTGTCCAAAGCTAAGAATGCTGTGAAACACAAAGGAGGCAAGCTGCTTTCAAGCTGTGCTGTAAAATCTTAATTTCTTTTTTTTGTCTGATTATTTGGTTATTTTAACCATAATTTTAGTCAATACAATACATCTAGTCAGTAGAATGTATAGACACAAACAAGCTGGCCTGTTATTAGTTAAAATGTTTGTAATTGGAAGTTATAGGGTTTTTTCTCCTCATTTATCAAGGAGATAAATGATTTTAACTTATTTTTTCTTAATTTATAAAACCTTTTTGCAGATGTTTAATACTCAAGCTTCGGGGAACTTGATCAAGTAGTATTTTGTATTTTAAGATCTATACTTTGAAAGTTAAGACCTGAACTAACTAAATATAACTGTAACCAGAGATGGAATTGTTCCTGTGCATTTAACTTTGCATTGCAATCATTCATCTTACGGGCCCCAAAATATACTCCAACTGTTTCAGACAACAGGGTGACAAAACTATTACTCCCCTACCCCCACCGCCCCATGCTCAGACTCGGGCTTATTAGTGCTTGGAGCCATGATATTTCTTCTGAAAGCACATGAACAAAAAAAATCCTTTGCAGATAAGTGTGAAATTAACACACCTGAGGAAAAAATAGAGGTAAAAATGTCAGGGAATTAATGTTTTTCCAGAATTCCATTGGAAATAAAAGAATATTCAATGGTGTTCTGAATACAATGGATATTTTGAAGTAAATATGAGGGATTGATTTTTGTTTGTTTTCAGTAAAGAACAAACACTAATTACTTTCAATTTAATATAGCTCTTGTTGAGGCTTTTTTCTGGTAGTCAGGAGAATCCTAAATTAAAAGTAGGAACCAGAGTAACTAGATTACAGAAAAGCTTATTTCTGGGGGGGTGGGAGTGGGGGGTAAGAAGCTTTTGTATAGATAATTTTCTGTGGTAGGAAGCTATGTTCTTTGCTGTGAGAAGGTGGAATGATGCTTATAAAAATAAACTGATATTAGCCATTGACTTCAGAAATTTTCATGAGCCCTATTCACTTGCCCAGTTTCCTTTTAAGTAAAGCTTGTTTGCAATTACTACGTGTTATAAACCAGTATGCTATTGTGAGCTTTTTTTCCAGGAAAGTACTTCGGTTAAAATGGAGTTTAGTTCGACGTTAGTAACATAAATAATAAAAATAGTTAGAATAAGTTAGTCCAATCTGGCACTAACATGGATATAGATAGGCAGCCATACTATCATAATTGTGATGGCAGCATTGTGATATATGTGCTTGTCTTCCTCTTTGCATGCTATAATTATCAGAAATAATGAAAACTTGCAGACTGGATCTGTTTGATGTCCTAGGAGATGACAGCTTTGTAGAAACTTTTAGAAACTAAAATTGATGATACTTTTAGTAAGGGGTCAGCTGGTAGCAGCCTTGCTTCTGATTTAAGGAAAACAGGAATGATGTGTGAAGATGTTTAAGAAATACTACCTCTTACCCTGGAAGTGGTGGTGGCCTACTAGAGCATATCATGAGCAGCTATGATGAGTGTGTCAATTGAGTGTGGGAGAAAACAATCAAAGAAGCTCTTCAAGTGTTACACCAACATCAGATCAGTGATCAGAATATGGGAAGCAATTTGGTAAGCGGTATAATCTATAAGTGGGAGTATTTGTTTTAACCCTCTTTTAGGGCTCCAAGGAACATCTTTAACAGGCAAGTGTGCAGTCGTAGATTCAGTGTGTATGGAAAAAGGGTGATCGTCTTGTTTTGGAATGATAAGTGTGTTTTAGGTAATGAATTTGGTACATGTAGAAGATACCTCTTGGGCTGTGAAAATAATAAGTTACTGTTAGAAGTGTGCCTGTCAGAAATTAAAGCTTTAAACTTTTGAAACATTTTTTTCAAAAAATGCACTTTGACTTGGAGGAAGCAGCTCAAAGGGATCTGTCTTTATAATAACAAATGAGCAGGTGTAATGGACTTTAGCAGATACATTCCAGGCATTGTAATTTACTGATTGATTATCATTTTCTTAATATTATACGTCTTTTCCAGTGTATTTGTAGTTTATTGAAACACTTCCTACTATATTTTCCCCTGCTGTTCACATCCCTGCAATTTTTTAATTCCTTCATTAGTATTTATAAGTGATTATTACCAAGTACCTCAGATCATATATAAATAAAAAATACTTTAAAAAATGTGACTGAAACTGAATTCCCAACAGTTGATCAATTTTTATTGCCTCCAGCTTTCTCTCTCATCTTAAGTGTTTTAGCTAAAAAAAAAGTCATGTCATATATCCATGAAGGTAGTTATCTATTGATCATAATACGTCACCAGACTGGCCTGAATTTCAGATATCCTTCTGTAAGTGTGGAAATTTGCTCCAGATACACTAATAGCAACATTGTGCATTACAACATTCAGAACAGTATGTCTTGTGGGAATTAACCTTTCAGGCCATGGCTTGGGTATAGGCTGGAATTCTACACATCTAACCAAAATTTTGAATAGCATCCAGAAATAGGCAGTGGAGGTGTGGTAGAGCAGAAAATAAGGATGTTCAGGTCTGGAGGAATTTGCCTGTAAAGAGAAGTGCTGCGTTGTTTCCAAAGTAAGTGTAATAATTGTCCATATGAACAGAAGAGTTCTTAGCTGATCTTCACTCATGAAAGACAAGGACCCAAACTGCTAGGAGTTTACTGTAATATTTATGGCACAACAGTGACTGAAATAAGATAAAACACAGCCAGTGGACATATGTTAAAGTATCAAAATCACTTTCATACTTTGTACTTTGCAAGTTAGCCTGAATAGAGTATTTATTAGAAAAGAATTTTTCTTAATCTTTGAGAAATCTTTACTTTTAGCCTGTGAGCAATCTTGGGCATTGATGGTAGAAAAGAGTAGTTAATTGGATCATAAAAGAATAATGCTTCCCCCCCCCGCCCGCCCGCCGCTGCTGTTACTTCATTTAACTCAGTGTTGGTAATGCATCATATCTCTTCATGGGGAGATGGGCATATTAGTTTATTGCTTTTTAAGGTGAAATAGTAAAACTAATGTTTGCATGTCATTGTTACAGTGTACAGTGTGGATGACAGTACTTAAGAAGAAGATTTTGCAAATGGTAATACAGTATCAAACAGGAAGCACACATTTGCGGATAACATGTTGAAGTTGATCTTGATGTTAACCCATGCACAGCTTTTTAAGCTGTTAGATACTAGTAACTGGTAGAATTAGTACTCATGGTCTGTGAACCATTCTTTGCCAGGTGTAGTTTTTGTAATTTGTGTAGATGTGTTTTTAAGTGTTGTTTCACATATATTAAATTACTTTTTTTTTTTCTTTTTCCAAATCATTTTCTTTGGAGAGCGTAGAAACCAAGTTTTAAGTATTGCAGTTTAAGACCTTTCCACCTGAATTAGAAAGTGCATGCCACTGTTGCATTCATTTCCATGTGCCTGTTTAATACTTGGATAATATTTGTAGCAACTAATCATATTTTGTGTGCTCTAAGTCAAGGCCTAGCTGTTGCTCTCTAGTCTGTCATACGTAGTGTGCATGGAAACCTGCAATATATCTAAGAGCATCTAGCTCTCTTCAGCTGATGTTTGATGTTGGCTTCTGTTGAAGTTAGATCATCCCAGAGTTCATGCAGTTCTGCTGGGCGCTAGGTTTCTTTGTGTAAATGTCCTGGAAATACTTGATTTTTATTCAGGGTGAACTGATTTGGTGGTTTAACTTTTCCAGCGTTGATCATTATGCATGCAATCAGACAACAGGATAGGTGATGGAAGTGCAAGTGTGGGTGTTGCCCTCTCCCTTTCTCTCTCAGGAAAGGGATAGTCACCCATGCAGCGTGTAATTCTATAATAAGTGGGCTTTGGGATTTATTTTTTTTTCAATACTAAAAATATAAGAAAATAAAGCAAGTCAGTCTCTTTGTAAACTGTGCTTTCTTTCATCCAGACTTGCAAAATTACTTGAAGAAAATGACTGTTAATTGTGCCCTAGAGTATATATGAAATATGATTTAAAGTGCTACCAAAAAGTACTGGCAAAGAAACGAGCTGATACAATGCAAGGAAAATGCTTATTCTTCAAACTTGTAAATACTTTGAGAAATCTTAAGTAAGGGTAGCTTATTGCTCTTGTTAAGTATATGCATCCATTCTTACAAGATTGAGATTTTAATCTGTTTATCAAAAAGGGTGACATTTAGAAAATCAGAAATGTGTGTCTTAAGCTTTCAGGAGACCAACTTGAGAACCTTTATATCAAAGAGTTAGTTGTGGATATAAGCAAATTAAAGAATTAGACAAGAGCTCAACAGCTGACATTCTTTTTCCATGGGTATTTGGAATTGACTACATAGTGTGTAACGTGGAGTAATTGAGAATTATACTGACAACACTTTAACATCTGTTACTCCATGTGTATAAATAGATGTGTTACTCACAAGGAATGCATCTTCATACTCGAATATCTGTCCTGGATAAACAATCAAGTTCTGTGTTTTGCTCTGGCTATAAACCTCCTGGACTTGTGTTTAACTCCTCAGGTATATGAAGCAAAGCCTTTCTTAAGGCACATGTCAGAGCTAGTAGAGAAGAGTTACGAGGACACAGTAAGGGAGAAGTTTTGCCTGTGGGACCTATGTATCACTGCTATTGCTATTTTTCCAGTGAACCTGGTGTTTTGCCACTGCTCTGCTACATGATATTGAAATTCCTGAAATCATCAGATGTGGTTCTCTCATTATTGACAGCATGGAACCATTGAAACAGTCTGCAGAAGCTATCAGAGAGATTGTAAAGTAATCATTTCTGAATGCATACCTTCTTATCTATAATGCTTATGAACTACTGTTGTCTTACTATGGCAACTTAAATGTCATTACTGTTTGACCGTCTTGTAAATTTGTGTATTTTGCTACTTTCTACGCTATTATTAACAAGTTCATATGTTTTAATCCAGTCTTGTGCACGTCCACACTTACAGTACTAGAACTTCATAGTTAAGTGAATCTGAGTTTGACTAAAAGGTCCTTTCCCATTTCAGGGAAAGATGGGGTTAAAAGCTGACTGTTCTAAACCTTTGGAATAAGTTTTCTGTTTTCTAGGTCATCTAATTTTATTTGAAAGAACTCCACTGTCTAATTTAGGTGTAATGTTTGCTTTGAATGCATTATGTGTGTGTGAAAATTTGCCATGTATCACCTAAGTTGTAAACTACAACTAAGTTTGCATTTTATGATGCATTTTGCAACATTGCCACTTCATGAAAACAAAACAAAAAAATGCCCTGAACGTATTTTCTTTCTTGTATGTAAATTGAATGGAATTAGAAGTTGAACAAGCAGCCTTACAAATAAAGGAATAAATAACATTTTGCAAATATTTCTTTTTAGTAATGGCCAAAATGTCTTATATTATACCTTTATGTATGTGTGGGTTTTGCCTGAATAGTAGCCTCCAGTCTACATCTGTTTAGTGGATAAACATTGAAAAATGTTGTAAAATTCATTTTTGATAAACACATTACATATCATTATTGTAGGGAAAAAGATCTTGCAGACGCTTTAGAAGAAGGAGGCTGTGATCTTGAAACTGTGAGAAACATCATTCAAGGAAGGCAATTGCCTGCTGATCTGAGGGCCAAAGTCTGGAAGGTAAATATGAGCCTAAATCAAGAAGCAGGAAATCCTTGAAGTTGTGTTTGATTTGAGGTAAATTATTTAATTACCAGGCTTCTCTACAGAAGAGATATAGTACTGGAATTTTAATATGCATATATGTTGATTCAGCTTTAGAATATTCCTCTATATTGAGTTAAATTACTGAGTTCAGTAATTGGATAAAAGGACACTAAAATGTTTAGAGGGTTTTCTGGTTTTGTTTTCAGATTGCACTTAATGTTGTAGGAAAGGGGGACAGCCTAGCATCCTGGGATGGCTCTTTAGACCTACCTGAACAGAGTATAATTCATAAGGATTGCCAAGAGCTAATTGGTAAGTTCAATTATATTAAGATCACCTATGTGAAAACTTCTGCATTCTCAGTTGTCTTAGGGCTTTGTTATTTGAATTAAATAACCTGAATGATGATTACATTTGGGGGGAAGCTTTGAGGAGGAAGATGAGAGAGCAGAGAAAATCAGTAAGAAATCATGAGAAAACAGTAGTATCTTATCTGTACTCTGACTCTGGGATGGGTGGTGTCGTGGAAGTTTGAAGTATTAGCTTGTAAATGACAGTTTGCATGGTCAGAAAGCTTCAGGAGTTGAAAACATTGTAATTTTCCAAGCTCCATCTTTTAAACCAGTGTCCTTCAATTTTTTAATTGTCTAATGACTGGTTCGTAATCTGAAAGGCTGATGTAGCACCAAAATGCATATAACCTTTAAGCGAAGAAATATATTAAACATTTTGGACTTCAAAGACTATTTTTAAGGAAGTGGGGTTTTTTTAATAATGCTTTCAGCAAAAATGAAAGGTTGTGTTTGTGAAAGCAAGATGCTGCCAGGACATTGGAAATAATATTTCAGCATGTCTGTGAGGAGCTGCCGCAGGATCTGGTTGGTAGCTCATCACAAAAATGGCCAAATCACTGACACCATGCAACAGCATTAATATCAGTCATCAGATGATGAAGTCAATGCTGACTCATAAATGAGGATACTTCTTCTTATGACATAATAAGAGAATCTTCTGTTTTATTACCTGTCATGCTTTAATGTATTTTTGCACAATTGAAAGTTAAGGCAGAGAATGGGGTTATTGCATGCATACCTACCTACCACTTTTAAAATGCAGTTCTGTTCTACATTTTCTAGCTCTAGAATCTAGTAGGGCTTATTTTCCTTCTCTCTCTGTCCTGTAAAGGAAATGGGGGGAAATTCCACTGTGTTATTTAATCAGCGTTTTTTCAGGAAGATGGCAAAATGCTCCAATTAGTATTCATAACATACAAAATTAAGCACTTCAGTGTTTGTTAGTTCTCCTTTTGTCTTTATTGGCAAATATTTTGTAAGATGTAACAATATTAAACTGATTAAAGTAATAAATGTAAAGTTACTTCAGAATGAAGGTTATATAGAGATTTCAATTTCGAGTTGGATTAAATCTCTCTAGTTCAGTGTTTTAGCAAAGCAGGTAGTCTCCAAATTTGAAGTAAATCTTCAGATGGCATTTGAGTTTTATGTACTATTTTATTTTCCTGAGAGGTAGAGGAAAGGAAGTGCCAAATATTGGCTGGCTTTCATGGGAAAGTATTGAAGACTTCTGTAATAAAAACTTTATTTAAACAGTAATGAGACTCATGGGCTTCTTGTAATTAAGAGGGAAAAATGTTCACTAGAAATTTAATGCTACTGCATTCCTGTAGTGTGTAGGCATCTCTTCCCTCCATCCCGGCTATACCATGGTTATTCCTTCTTTTCCTGTAAATCACTGTAGCTATGGAAAAATTGACATAACCTGAGTGGATTAAAACAAATTTATTCCTGAAATATATAATTCATAAGTTTATTTAATATTAGATTTTTCATTAAAAAATCTCAAGAGGTGTTCAATATTAAAGCAAAAATTGTCTGAACTTGCGCAGAAGTCTGGGTTTCACTACAATCTGTATAATAAATATCTGTATATTTAACTGTAAGTAAGCTAAGTAGTTATTTCATCACATGGAGGAAGGCATAATTTGGGATATGGTACTGACATATTTCAGTATGTGTTAGATTCATTGCTTCAAGCAAGGTGGATGCCAGTACTTTTTCTGAAGTGTTGTCAGCCTTTTAAGTAAGAGTCTATGCAGAAAGATGCTTTGGAACTAATGAAAACCTAAGCTTTGTGTATGTATCCAACTCGATAATGACAGTATTTAAGAAGGGTTTAGCTTGCTGCCTTAATTACAGAACTGGTTTTGTACCATTTTTTTTGTGCCAGTCTTCATCCAAATGCAACAATATAAATTATGGATTTGGAATTAGTCTGTCATTAAATAGGGGACATCTTTACTTTTCAGTACCTTTAGTCTGTCATTAAATAGGGGACATACTTGCTTTTCAGTACCTTACAACATTTGGAAGAATTTGAAACAATGTACTACATTATATAAAAGATTATATGTTCATGGTTACTGTATCTTCTGGTTAGCAACAATACCAAATCCAATTTAAAAGCCAGGTGTAGTTGTAAGTAATCAAATAATTTCTCTTTTTATAGTTATTCTAACATCCCCAAATTTAAACTATTGTTAGGAAAATTACTTTGAAGTAGAGATTTAAAATGTGATTTATATGTTAATACTAAAATTTAAGTCTGTAAGCTTAGCTGATTTCAAACTACTGATTTTCATAAATTTGCATGTCAGTGGGCTTTTGAGGAATTGGAGGTATGCATTGTGGGTTGATCTGTTTGTTGTAGAGTTGAGCATAAGTTATGTGCTGAGCACATCAAATAGGAATAGAAGGAGGACATTCTGTGCATTAAAGAATCTAGCTCTTTGTTTCATATAGATCCTGGAAAACCCAAACTTCTTTCTTCCTGTTGTTGCGATATTTAAATGATATTTAAATGCCTTATCATACTGAGGTTATAAAATCACTTTGTGATTTGATGCTTTTTTGCATGCCTTTCTGTAAGCATTTAATCCAAGCTGCTACTTTTTTTGTTTGTCTGGTTTTGTTGCTTTTTTTTCCAAGCAGTCCCTATTGGTGCAATTGTGCTATGAAATAATCTCATTCAGTTTCTTTGAAAGGCTATTAATACAGTTTATATTGCTGTGCCTATTTCAGACCAGTTGTCAGTGCCAGAAGAGGAGAAGTCGGTATTACTTTTGGATATTGAGTCTGTTATTACTTTTTATTGCAAATCACGCAATGTTAAATACAGTTCTTGCCTCGGCTGGATACATCTACTTAAACCTCTGGTGCACCTTCGTTTGCCACGCAGTGATTTGTACAACTGCTTTTATGCTATCATGAATAAATTCATTCCAAGGTAAAACTGTCTTTCTTTTACCCGTGTTCTATTTTTATTGGCATTAAAAGTATTTTCTGAAAGGATGTGCATGTTGGTTTTGGCTAGAGTAGCACTGTTTGCAGCAAAGTTTTCAGATTCCTTCATGTGGTAATAAATTGAACCATCTTTCAAAACCTGTTGATTTGAAGTCCCGGAGATGATTGAGTTGGTTTAAGATGCAAAGAGTTAGCATGTGACTGATGTAGACTGGATGTGTCTTTTAAAGAACAACCATCATTTTGTGCAATATAAAAAATATTTTTTTAGGAACTATCTAATTCGCATATGTTATGTGAAAGCATTTTTTCTTTCCTTTCCTGGCATTTTTGATATCTAAAATGTTTCTATCCCTGTCACTTCAAAGTACTTCATAAGCACTAATTCAGTCTCAAAATCTCTTTAGAAGAAATAGTTGATATTTTCCCTTTATTCTACTGAGTTGGGACTGAAATGATTGGGTTTTTTGTAGTTGTTAGATTTTATTTTGTTTTAATAAAAAATATGAAATTGGAGATTCTCATGCTGTTATATAGGTGCTGTCACTAAAATAAATTTTTATTTATGTTGGAGTAGCACCATGCCACTCCAGCAAAGCTACAGAGTCTTCTAATTAAGACCTTGAGAAATAATATATGGATAGTCTGCAATTAAAGATCTGAGTCTGATTCCCTGGAGAGGAGATTCTGGCTGAGCTGCCGGGTATATGCCCATAATATGAAAAGTGCACATTTGGTTTTGTGGCAGGAAACATTTATCGGTCCTGTCACTTGACTCAGCTTGTGTCCATTTCTGATTTAAAATACTGTTGGGCTCTGCAAACTGTTGGGGGATAGTGGCATTATGGTCATGTAACTCATGTACTTTCAACCACAGAAGGCTTTCAGAGTGTCTAGTATTTGAGTTTCTCTGTAAGAACCTAGGTGGTATTTCAATGAGATGTAGGCTGTTTTGTTGTCTTTTTTTTTTCTTTTTCTCCAATGGGAGAATTAAAGGTATAGAGAGGCAATTTATAGTAGACTTGCAAATCTCTGCTTAGGTCAGTTTGGACTTGATCAATGTTTGACTGCTGGACCATCCTTATGACTTGATAAAAGTTTCATTTTTAACTTTTTGCTATTTTTTGTTTTTAAATCATATTTTTTATTCACATTTTCCCATGTTCTGTAACTATCGTGAAATATTTATTGGGAATTTATTCTAACAAAATGTTGACAAGTGAGGGAAATGTACAGCATAATCTGTTGGACCATGTTATACCTTAAATTTTTTTGGAAAGAGCATCTCTAGCAAGCCAAAGGAAGAACGAGAAAAAAAAAAAACCCAAACAAACATAATAGGCTATTTTAGATGAGGGAGGTTTTGCTATTTTTCCTTGGAAACACTGTTATTCTCAAGGCTCTTGGTATAAAGTGTCCTATGGATACCTATCTTTCTTTTCCTCTTGCCTTTCCTCTAGAATGATGAGTTTTCTGAACTATACAAAATTAACAAACAGTTAATATGGAAGTCCTAGGTCATTAATATTGTTTGTTTGGGCAATAAGTAGAAGAAAACACCATCTCAGGTATGCAATTGAGTAGACAATGATTTGTGTGAGAGCTTGTAAGGTAGTAAACTAATTAAAAAGCTGCAAGTGTATAATGGAAGTGTATCTCATCCCAGGAACCACGTGAGGAAAGTGCATGACATCTGCTTACATTACATCAATGTTACCTCTAACAGATGGTAGAAAATGGCTTTTTTTTTTGTTGTTGTTTAAAAAAAACAAAACCAAACAAACAAACAAAAAAACCCAATAACCACTCTTTCCTAAAGTAAAATGTAGGTTAGTTTCTAGGGCAATTTACTTCTGTTTAGCTAAATCTTGTTTTAATTGTTTTCGCATTGTTTTTGTTTTTCACCAGTCCTTCCGAGGGCTGAGCCTGCTGCTTCCATGGGGCTTCTAGCCTAGGAAGTAATGGGATAGGTACAGGAATTCACAATTTTGTTAAGTGGGTTTTCTGTTGGGTTTTGGGGGTGATTGTTCTTATTTGGTTGGGTGGGTTTTGCTTGTTTGGTTTTGTTTGTTTTTTTTTAAACTGGATATTAAGGGTTGATTACTACAAGAGATACAAGAAGTAAAAAATTACTGAGCAAAACAGTTAAGCAAAATGTCTAAACAACATTGTTCCACTGTCAGTAGAAATGTGGAAAGATTCTTTTTAAAATTACTTTTGGGTATATATCCACTTTTAATGTTAAAAAGTGGTAAAGAATGGCTGACTGGAATAATTGACCATACTAACCATTCAAACAAAGTAATTTGCAAGTCTAGATTCTTATGCTAAATTCATTAATAGAATATTTTTCTTCTTTTCACACTTTTTGTTCTGTTAACTTAATGGGAAGTCAGAGTTCTTATGATAATTTCAAAAAAGAATCCCTGCTTATAATTTGCTGTGAATGTTTCCATTTTACCACCATAGACATACCTTTGTTTAAGAAGTTAGGCTGATAATTGTGTTTGGAGTTCTGTGTGTCAAGTTTTACATAAGTTCGCTTAAGTTTTTAAACACTTAAGATTTGTTTCTAATGTCTTTAAACAACTATTTCTTAATTTTAAATACTCTTTTATTTCCTGCTTGAAGAATTGACATTTAATTGTTATTCATGTATGAAATAAGCATCTTTTAAATTTCCTTGGGCTGCCATATTAGAATGATTTATATTTTTTTAATTCTATTTTTTGTTAACAACATTGATACCATGCTATCCTTTTGTTGATATTTAAATCTGTTTTAAATACTTCTATATTATATACTCTGTCAACTCTTGGCAATATTTTGTTCTTTCTTCTGCCTTATTAATATAGTGGGGTTTTCAGTGTTTGAGTTTTTTGTTGGTTTAGTTTGTTGGGTTTTTTTTTTTTTTAACTCTTGAGGCAAGTTGACTTCATGATCAGACGCTGTGAATTGAAAGAACAATATAGGAAATTACATAATCACAACTAATAAAGAATTGCTACTATAAGTCTGACAACTGGAGTATTATGGGGGTGTTTATGATTATTTTCACTGGTACTTTTTAGGGATTGTTTTATGAAGGGAAGACCGTTTCATCTATTTAGACTGCTTCTTCAGTACCATGAGCCTGAACTCTGCTCCTTTCTTGATACTAAGAAGATGACTCCAGACTCATATGCACTCAACTGGGTAATAAAGTGAAAGTAGGGAAACATAATGAAAAATAAATTTCTGTTAAAATTTAAGTACATGTTGCCAGCTTATGGAAGAGTAGTACAAGCGATTAGAACTGCATATATTGAAAAGAATTGCATGTTTTAATATAGTGTGGGCTTTTTGTCTTTGGTTGTTTAACATATTGTATGAGATCTTGTTAACGTCACATTTTTATTGTACTGGAAGTTAATTGAGCCACTGATGTTAGGAACTACTTGGAATAAGTAAGAATGAGAACAGCTGACATACTCAAAAAGTAAGAAGCCGTGATGTTAGTTTTTATAGTGGGCAGCTGTATCGTAGTTATGGATAAACATCAGCCTGATGGGTCTTTTAAAGTCAAATTACTAATCGTTTTAAAAACCTCCATGCTAATAGATATATTTGTCTCATACAGTGCTATGCCTTTTAGAATTTAGGCACATATATTGTACAGCTCTTAAAGAATTGGTCATTTCCTCCTCACCTTAACTTCAAAACTGCCTCGAGTTGGGGGTAGTTATAAGGACACTTACCTCAATCATTTTTTTTTGGTAAAATTCATGTAGCAGGACTACAACATAAAGCAGCAAAATTCTTGTTTCAATACTACTTAGTATATGCAATACAAAATCATGATACAGTGTTTGCAGAGGCAAAGTCTGTAAATTAATAAAGAAGACTTTATGACCCATGAGCTCTTCTAGGCTCTTTCATACCTGTTGGCTTTGTAAAATTTTTTGTAACTCCCATGTACTTACAGTTAAAGAAATAAGACTGAAATGAATTATTAAACTGCGAGGTCTGTATTTGGTTTGTTGGGGGGGGGTTAAATATGATTTTTTTTTTTTTTTTTTAGGCTGTTCCAATTTTAATATAAAAATATGTCCAGGAAGAATTTCCATATTCTCAAAATCTGTCTTTTGCCAGTCATCAGGCTTCAAAAGAGGAGTCAGGTCTTTTTTTACTACAGAATCTCCCTTTTTTTTAAATATATATAATTTTCCTTAGTAAATACAAACTTCTTTGAAGTTGTTTATTAAAAGTTTAGTGATTCATTAGGAAAATATCTTCCCTTTGAAGGGAGGTAGAGAAATGAGCTAGTGTAGCCGCCAGTCCTCAATGGCTTTCTGGTGTACAATCTTGGAAAAAAAACCTTAAGCCATATTTTATGTTATGAGATTACATTAAAATTCCTTGTTTCATCTGTCAAAAACTGTCAGAAAACTTAGTCTGTATAGAGGTATTTCTAATGTGGAGAAATACATAAGCAACAACCAGTGATCTGTCATTGCCTTGTTATTCAGGGATGTTTTGTCTTCAGTTGCGTTTGACTTGGATAGATCTTCTTACCTTTTGTTATAAAAGTATACTAGGAAGTGTTGAAATGAGCTTTCGAAAGCTGTAGCTCTTGGTACAGAATTTGTATGCATCAGCAAGTTCAGTAAGACCCCTGTGAAGCCAGCTGGTATGCATTTGAGTTAGGTGTGATCACAAATATTATGTGGCATGTATGAAAAGAAGTTCCTACCTTTTCTTTTATCCACTTTGGACTTTGCATATCAGAGAGGATGTATTTTTAAATGGGAACATGGGGAACAGGCAAATAGTTTAAATGGTAATAAAAATTGTCTGTTGCTTGCAAATGTTTAATTACTCAGCCGTAAAGCATCGTAACGTAATGTTAAGTAACTGATGTTGTCAAACTAATGTGCAACCGTGTTCAATTAGCTTGGTTCTACTGTGAAAAATAAAAAGAATGTTGTTTACAGGATCCTTTCAAAGCCCTATTTGCTAAGCTAGTTGAGTAAATATATTCTCTTATTATTGTCTTGTTGGTATAATTGGTACTTAGCACTGGCTATGAGCTAAACAGTGTTCCAGCCTGTTTGTGTTATCTCTGGTTGAATTTGCAAGGCTGACAATGTACAGCTGAGTTTGCCTTCACGCTAGGCGGATTTATTCACAGATGATCTGTAGTATTACTGCACCATTTCCATAAAAATTGTTTTTGAGGGTAGAACCATTCTTCAATACATGGTGCAAATGTATGTTTTAGCATAATTTTGTTGTTTTTATTTTCTTTTAGATATCTTGTATCTCTGTTAAAAATGTTATCCTGTTAAGATTGTTCCTGGTTATTGTATTTTCTTACACTATTGTCCAAATTTTTAGCTTGGAAGCCTCTTCTCGTATTACTGTTCAGCTGAAGTCACTCAGGCAATATGGGATGGATATCTACAACAAGCAGATCCATTCTTTATTTATTTCTTAATGTTAATCATCCTTGTCAATGCAAAGTAAGTGTATAGTTAATTCTTTGGGACATTCCTTGCTGACACAGTTTTAATCCACTTTTGTTTCATTTTGGTTTACTGACGTAATCTATGCCTGTGACTTTACTGTTTTCAGAGACGTTATCTTAGCACAAGAATCAGATAAAGAAGAAATGATAAGTAAGTACTTCTCTTATATAGCTGCTAGTATTCACCATATAGTATAATCCCCATTTATTATTATTATTAATTACTAAATAACTGAATTATTTAATTATTTCCCTGTGATTTTCTCATTAATGAATCCCCTTGCCCACTAATTCCTTTCTTACTATTTTGCTGCATCACATTTGCTCTGTCCTTAACATTCTTTTTTTGTGTTTCCTTTTAGCACTCCCACATCTAGTTTTATATTTCAGTTTGGAGTACTTGAAACTATCACCATGTTCCTAAGTCCACAGCAGTAGCTTTCAAATCCTTCTTTAAATCTACTGCACTTGTTGCACTTTCCAGATTATTATCTTTGTATGCACTTGATTTGAGCCTAATTCATTGTTCTTGTCTTACCCTCTTCTGTTTTTATAGAAATTACACTAAATTTCTTGTGAGCCTATTTCACCTGCCTTTGTATTTTTTTCACATGGCATAATACAATATAATCAATAATATCCTACTAGCTAAAAATGAGGGTGCTTGGAATTTTGCATCTTTGCCGTATATTGCAGAACTACACCCTTTTACCATCCTGGACGTGTAACAGTACTACTTAAGTACTCTGTTTCAGAGGATTCTCTTGGTCAGCCGCCTTTAGAAAAGGCTGCTGACTTAGTATGACAACTGAAAGCTAAAACTATACAGAGGTAAGAGTGTGGTAAAAAACGATTTGCGTGGAAGGTTTGAACTTCTAGCAAATAGGATAGGTTTCCTGTGGATAAGGAGTATTGGCTGTATCTTCTCCTTCCACCTGGAGAGTGAATCAACATTCACGTTTAATCACTAAACTCAATTGTGTTATGCCTTATTAAAAATACGTTATTTTATGATGTGAAAAAATGTATGGTGCTTCTTTTCTACGTCTGAAATAACGGTGCACTTATGTTGTTTGTATATATCAGAATTCTTAGAAACTTCACCAGCCAATCTTGATTTAGAGGATATAGAAGATCTCTTCTCTTTGGCACAATATTACTGTAGCAAAACTCCAGCTTCTTTCAGGAAGGTAATAACAAAGTAATTTTGAAATTCTCTTCTTTTTGGTGACTGTTTAAGCTTCTGCTGAGAGGAACTTTGAATGGTTCATTGTGATTTTTTTTAAACAATTTTTTCATGTTGTTACGCTGGTGGTATTTACTGTTAGGATGTTTGAAAGATAAGAAGGTTAAGTAAAACATGTTAGAGAGAAGTTTCCCTGCAATATTCTTACTTCATGACTGATAGCCTTGTTTTGCAAACCAGGCTCTTGTAAGAACCAATGAAGCAAACATGCCATGCTGACACAATTGCATTGTAGTAGACTGCACAGCAGTCCTAGCTGTACTTACAACAGCAAACAGGAAAAAGTCACTTATTAGAGATAAAGCTGTCATCACCTGCACTGTTCTTGCAGTTCTTCCTTACTCAAGATATCAGACTTCAGTGAATTAATGAAATAAAAGTAATTGATAGCCATTGCCTTTGGCTTGTATGTACTTTCTCTGTGTGTAGACAGGTATGTGAGATTTGGGGGGGGGTGGGGAACAAAAACCAGAGATGTTTCATCATGTTGGCATGGTTAGAGTGGCAAACAAGCATGTTTGTAATGGAAGTTCGGGCCTTGCCATGATTTTCAGAAAGAATTTCAGTTGATCAAAAGTTTCATGACTATGTGGACAAGATACACGTGTATCGGACTTAACATTGGTGACATAGTGGATATAGTTTTACTTTAAGGCTTCACATCTGAAGACAATAGCTTCAGTTAACCTTTTTTTTTTTTTTTTCCTTTTTGCCTTATTAGGACAACCACAGTCTTTTTGGCAGCAGCTTGCTGGGCCTCAAAGATGATGACACAGACTTGAGCCAGGCTCTCTGTCTAGCAATTTCTGTGTCTGAGATTCTTCAAGCAAATCAGCAACAAGGAGTTAGTATACTGAATTACTTCCCCCCTGCTTCCCAATTCTATCAAAACGGAAAAGAATCACTTGCTAATTCGTGTATCACGAATATTTTTAAAGTGCTTACAACACAGATGAGTATTTGCTTTTTCAGGAAGAAGGATTCTTGTCTTGAAGTTGTCTGCCTTGTAAATGATCTGCTGACAGCAATGCATTTGTGCTGTAGCAACTAGAGCTACAGCCCAAGGGACCTTAATACAGCTGATCTGAATCTGAGGAGTGAGAGCTTAAAGTAATATCTCACTAATTTGACTTCCTTTCCAAATGTAGCTATTATAGAGGAAGATTTAAAACCCACTACTCAGTACCTTTGAGAAGAATGTCATTATGAAATATCTGTCTTTTGTCAACGAAAGGTTTAAACAGACAAAAAAATTGATTCAAGCTATTTCTCTAGTACTTAATTGCAGAGAGACGTATGGACTTCACTTAGAGTATTTAAGACCAATATATGGATAATAGTGTAGCTAGATTCCAGTGTTTCTTATTGACTACTGGCTTTTTGTAGCAGCTTCCAGGCCCCAGTTTCATCAGGCATACTTTTTTTTTTTCCCTAGTCCAATTAAAGTTAAGCATCTGTTTATATCCTGCTTAAGTCGGTGGGATATAAAGCTATCCTTATGTGCTGTGCTGAGTAGTAATGGACTGTTGCATTAGGACTTCAGACTTGTCCCTTCTGATGTCTTGTTGATGCGTGTCTTCGTACCCCCTGTATTTCTTCTCAGTAGAGGTGAAATAATTACACTGTGTGTATTGCACTTAGGTGGCCATTTCTGCTGTACAAGCTGATGGATTAATGCGAAATCACTATTGGAATACTGTTGGTAGTCTGCTAACTGTAGAAGTTCAGATTAATCAAACAAAATAAGATTTTCCAATAGCTGTTAGCCCCTTTGAGGGGTTCCTGTAGTATTGGAGTTAGTATTAAAATATAATTGAATTATGTACTTTTCCATCAATTACATGATTTTAAAATTTTCTAACAGGCAAAATCTCTCTCTTTCAGGAAGGAGTAAGGTTCTTTGTAGTGGATTGTCGTCCTGCAGAGCAATACAATGCTGGGCATTTATCAACAGCATTTCATTTAGACTCAGATTTGGTTCGTATGCTTTTTGTTTCTTTACTGATTTTTGAATCCTAAGTTAAATAGAAGGAGAGAGAAATGTCTGTCTTGAAAAATAAATTCTCATTTAGTTTAGACTCTAGTCTGTTGACTGCAGTGTCTACCTATGTGATGAGGTCTCAAAAGTTAGCTTCTCTAAAGGAGATTGGTGGAATTATCATTTTACTGAGAAGATTAGTCCTTAATGACATTAGAATTTGGGATTCCAGACTTCCTGTTCTTTGGTTAGAACTGGAAATCCATACAGGCTAAAAACTAGACATTGCTTGGAGGAGAAGTCTCTTTTTAGCATCATAATTTCTAATGAAAGGTGTCACCAATTTTGACAAGTAGCTTTTTTTTTTTTTCCCCAGCCAGTCTTCATACAGCCTGCTTGTAAGGAGAATATGTAAGGATTTGGTTGCTCCTTTAACATTTTTGCAGTACAATATGAGAGAGGAAGTGCATTAATTTTGGGACTGAGATGTACTGCGGACTAATTACTTCATTAAAGATTTTGCTGTAGTTTCCATTTGATTCTGAATTCCTAACTGAACATTCAATCATATTTTTCTCTGTCCTTTTTTTCCCAAATTGCTTACACTTCAGCTGGAAGTATTCTTCACTTCTAGGTTAACCCTCTACTATTTCACTTCAAGCAGTCTATGGATGCTGCATGGAATGCTTTCTATGTATATACCCGATAAAAGGCTTTTTTACTTTTCTTAGTTAAGAAGCTCAGTCCTGCATCTATTATCTTTACCTCTCTAATTAAAATTAAGTATTATTCAGTAGTATTTGCACAAGTATAATTATATAGGAGAGAAAAGGAGGCTGAGGGCAGACCTTATCACTCTCTACAGCTACCTGAAAGGAGGTGGTAGCAAGGTCGGTGTCGGTCTCTTCTCCCAAGTAGCAAGTGATAGGACAAGAGGAAACGGCCCCAAGTTGCACCAGGGGAGGTTTAGATTGGATACTAGGAAAAATTTCTTCACCAAAAGGCTTGTCAAGCATTGGAACAGGCTGTACAGGGAAGTGGTTGAGTCGCCATGCCTGGAGGTATTTAAAATATATGTGGATGTGGTACTTAGGGACATGACTTAGTGGTGGAGAGATGGCAATGTTAGGTTTACAGTTGGACTTGATGATCTTAAAGGTCTTTTCTAACATAAATGATCCTATGATATAGTGTTCTGGTTTTAACCTAGGTCAAAAATTATTTAGGAAAAAACTTTCCCCATGGTATGTGGGTGTCCTTCCGCTAGCCTTAATTGAACATCATATTCAATAAAGTAGAAATAAGCATTATAAATTATTAAATAGTTTAAAAACCTAGTAATATATGAAAAAGAAGTCCATGAAGACAATTCTTAAATTGGATGTGATTAGTTCGTATGTATTTAAATTAAATATTGGAATTAACTTCTGCAGTATGGGTCAGTTGGTATGGTTAGGATCCTTCATGAACCACGCTGGATGAATGTCACCCGGTTCCTCTGTTTTTAGAAGTTTAATGCCAGGAAAACGTTGTAGGGAATAATCTTTGAGACAAAAAGCCATTAATGGAACTTCAGTGTGTTTTATATCCTTGTATGTGCAAAGTACAGGCAATTTACTTTAGGAGAGGCAATGGGGAAAGGACTTTGGAGTCCATGTCATTTATAGGTGGGATAGTCTTAGAGGAAGTAGTGAGATTTAGCACCTATGTAATAAAGCAGCAGTATGTGGCTCTAGGAGAACCCCAGTTAAAATTCAGGTTGACTTACTGATGGCTAGGTTGTGTACTTGTTACTTTGTACTTCATCATTTAATCCAGTGTAAAGGCTAGATAATGACAATCCTCCTCCTTCCTCCTTCCCCCCCCAATCCAGTTACAGGTCAGTATTTCCTTATTAATTTAAATAAGCGCCTTCCCCAGAAGAGGAGGTTAAAATTTCGGCTGTATTTAGAAAGTCATTGTTTCTCCATCTCTTTCATATAGCAGCTTATTGGTTTAGCATGCATAATAGGCCTTCAGGAGACCACAGCCTTAACTTTTTGAGACTACTAAGAATCCTAGGTATCTCCTTGTACTCCTGATTGTAATTTTTTTTCAAAATCTTGATAAGTAAATGAGAAAAACCTTAGTGGGGAGACAACAAGGACCTTACTGGCACCTAGAAATTCTGGTATTTTAAAGGGTTTCAAAACTCCAAAGTTTGAACATGTTGCGCTTGAGCGTATGTAAATACAGAAATCAGTCCCTCTGCCATATTGCCAACTTAAGGCAACGTGAAAGTTCCAAAGACTTTTTCCACTATTATCTGGTGGCTGCAAAAATAAACTAACAAATGTTAGCTGTGTTTCTTTCCCGGGGAGAGCAAGGTGGAGTGAGGAAGAAAAGGATGATCCTCGGTGTTCTTTATATAACATGAGGTCTGGGTCAGGCTGTCTTTTTTGTGAGTGTGTGTCTTTTACAGTGCTGATGTTGCCTTGTTTGTGCTTAACAAATTATAACCATTTTCAAAATTTGTATCTTTTCACAAGTTGTGTTATAGTATGTTGGTGTCAAACAGCACTTTTTGTTTGTTCATTCCACAGATGCTTCAAAACCCATCAGAATTTGCACAGTCTGTAAAATCCCTATTGGAAGCACAAAAACAATCTATTGAGTCTGGCTCCGTAGCTGGTGGGGAACATCTCTGCTTCATGGGAAGTGGCAGGGAAGAAGAAGATATGTATATGAACATGGTGCTAGCACACTTCTTACAGGTACAAGTAAATTGCTGTTGATTTTAATAGCTGAAATAAAGTGTCTGCATGTATCATTGACGCTAAATGGCAAAATATTTTCCCCTTAAAATCCTAACTGTTTTATACATTACTCAGGTTTACAGTTTTTATGAAGTTAACCCGTGTTTCATTACCATGCTTGCAAAACTCATTCCACAGATTTTTACTTCAACCAAAAATGTCTTTCTTTTGCAGAAAAATAAGGAGTATGTAAGCATTGCCAAGGGAGGATTTATGGGTAAGCTTATTAATAACGAGCTTTGTTTGAGAAAACTTGGTATCTTAACACTGTTCATATTTTTATTGGGCTTTGGCTAGAAATCAGCTAAATGAATAGCAAATATGTCTCATTTCTCAGGTTTTTGTTTTGTGTAAGTCAACACTGTGCACTTGCACATTTGTGGTTAACTGTTACGGCTTAATCACATTTCTGAATGGTGAAAAATTAATACGGGAAGTGGGGAAATTCCCTCTTTCTTCTAACTTATTCTTGATGTTTAGCCTCTGTCGATTGCAGATCTGTATGAAGATGCTCCTTCATAATTACTATTAATTGTTGTTGCGTTTTCTTAAATCATCAGTTCATAATTCTGCAGTTTATGCTGCTGGACTCAATCAGGCTCTACAACAGCAGAGAGATCTGTTCTACAATATGAGCATAGAGGCATTGCTAGTCAATATGTGCAGTGTCATAACAGCTACCTTTAGGGTCAAAGCAGTGATTTATTTTTAGTTGCTGCTGTATTTTAACTGTTTTCTTTACTAAAATAAAGATTATCCTAATGCCTTTGAACTACTGAAGGAAAAGCCAAGGGTGATTATAGCGGTATCTGACTTCATCTGTTTTATTAAATCATGTGGAGCAAAAATTGTTACTGATTAGTCTTGGATATACAGTATTTTCATCAACAGACTAATTTCAGTGTGGTTCTGAATGGTTTTTAATGGCCTTTTAACAGCCCTTCAGCAGCACTTAGCAGATATCAATGTGGAAGGACCAGAAAATGGATATGGCCACTGGATTGCTAGTACCTCAGGCTCAAGAAGTAGCATAAACTCATCTGTTGATGTAAGTGAATTCTGAGCTCGAGTGGTATAGTGGGATGGGAGCCCCAGGTATACTGAATTTTTTCTTCATATTCCTCATTCTGTTCTGTAAATGCAGTACTGCAAGTCATGATTGTTTTCAGTTGTATGTTTAATTTCCAGCTATATTCACTGTCTAGTTGGAGGTGACCTAAACATGTTTTATCCTCCTGAGAGGAAGAGCTTGTAGAGAAGAAATTGCTGTAGTCATTCTCCAGCAGAATATATGTAATGGACAATTCTTTTCCTGGCTCTTCTTCACTCTGGGAATAAATTACTACAAAACTGGTATACACTTTCATGGGAAAGCTCAAAATTGCCTCCTTTCTACAGCTAATATGTTGTATGTAGAATTTGACTTTTAATTTGCATACAATTTATCATTAATGTAATTCCTTCCTCTCTAGATTTTCACAGCAGGGTGCTCAGTAATAAGGTTTGTTAAGCTTACTTTATTGGATCATCTTTGCATCAGATATTGTTGCTGTCATTTGATAGAAGTCTAAAAGAATACTGTAATTAATGTTCTACTGAGTATCAAAAAGTAGGTTACTATTTTGTAGTCTGTTTCCTTTCTTAAACTAGAAATGAAATAACATTATTTTATACAATTAATCCTGAGAGGAGTTAATTTTACAGGGTGATTCTCCTAATGGTTCAAGTGATGGAAAAGGAGTAAAGTCCCTGGTGAATAAAATGACGGTTGCTTTGAAGACTAAATCTGTGAATGTGAAAGAAAAAGTTATTAGTTTTATTGAAAATACATCTACTCCAGTGGACAGGTGCGTCATTTATAACTTGCTGTGAATTAGCAGTGAGGAATGACTTCCCATTTCAGGTGGCTATTCTGTAAATGTGAAGACTGTGCTAATTAGAAAAAAAGTTATCTTCCAGTTTCAGCTTTTAAATTTCCTACACCTACCCTCCTCACAATTTTATCACGACACAGTAAGTCTACTGTGCTGCCTTAGTATTGCAAGACCAGTGTGAGCTGCCTTTACTCTTGAATGTTTATCTAGAATTTGTCACTGCATGGTTAGTTTGACTTCTTATAATGTGTCATTTCTTTATTCAGTCTAAAAAAGTCAAGAATGATTTCACTTTTATTTCAGTTCTTCCCCATCCTGACTCTAATGGAATGGGTGAATGACAGAAGGACCCTGACCTTCTGGACAGGGGTTTTTTTGTTGTTGTTTTGTTCTGTTTTGCTTTTTTTTACCAGCCCATCTTGTCAAGTTGAGGTTAACTTTTTTGAAGATCTTGATTTTTCAAGTCCTGATGTAAGCTGCTTTTCAAACCCAGAATCCACTCTTGTTCATTTTTTGTATCTTCAAGTAGAGCTGGGAATGAGAACATGCAAACATGTTAAAAGATGCTTCCAAATGTGGAAGTCATTGTTCCAAATACTTACCTTAACTACATAAAAGAATAATAGCTTTCATCTCTCAAAGCTTTAATTGAATAGCCTGTTTTAGAGTTCTTTAAAATGCATCCTCTGGAGTTGTATGTTGCAAAGATATTGGTATTCAAGAATCTTACAGAGCTAGTGTTTGTTTGATGGCAGGATTTAACATACATGCCAAATGAACAGTAGTTTTTAGTAGTCTTGTACCTAATCAAAAGGTACAGATTGTGGCTTCTTTTTGTGTTGGAAAATTACTTTTTTAATTATTATTTCACAATTGGAGGCAAAAAATCTTAAATAGCACTTGGTGGTAGCTTTTGTTGTGTGAAGAATTCAAGTAAGGCTTATATGTAAGCCATACATAGCATGAAAAATGCATCTTTTACAATTTTTACAAATATTTCTCTACCTCATGGCTAGCTGTCATGAAGCATTGCTTTTATTTATAAGCATCCTCCTTGAAGAAGATACATTGCCAATATAGAGCATTTCAATTATTTATCTAGATTTTTCCTTTAAACTTTTTTTTTTTTAATTCTTTTGTTCTGTCCTCTGCCCCAATGTACTATAGAATACCTTTCAATATTCCCTGGCCAGACAGAGCAAGCCTGGAGCGGTAAGCTTGATAATTAAGCAGTCTGACTAAAACCACCTTTGTCGTATTTAGCATGGCATTGCAATATTTGTAAGCATTGGTTACACTGACAAAATTGCTCGCATATTTTAATATTAATTTAGGGGGTTTGAATATATTGAAGCTATTGGGTTTTACAAGTAGTAGTCAGGGGACTAGAGGAAGAAAAAAAGTGTATTGGTAGTGCTTTCTTCTCTTAGTTTCTGCTTTTTTATTTCTGTTCTCTTCCTTGCTATTGCTTTTTATGGAGTGTTTTTTTTTACTTGTCATTTCCTGTATACATTTTATTAGTGACTTGTACTAGTGAAAGACACCAGGAGCAATTACTGAACAAATTATGGCTTAAGGTTTTAACAAGAGAGACTACAACTATGAAAAGGACTTGTTATAAACTGTTCATAAAGCATCATCAGAGCTTAGATATAACAGGGAACCCATAGAGAAATTCTGTCTGGAAATCTGGAATTTTTATGCTTCTCATCACATGGTGATAGAACATGCTGATAGAAACAGAGATGCTCATTACTGGGAAGAGAAAAATGCTGAGTTAGTCAGTAAATATGCTTTGCAGCTCTCCCCCATCTTGTTCACATAACTACTGTGTTTCACGCAAATGTGGAGTCCCTTCACATTTGTCTCAGATTTATTGCCTTATAAATATTTCAGAAATAAAAATTGTGAATTGAGCTTATGTAAAATTACTTCTGATAAACGAAGGACAGCTCATGCATAATCACTGTGGAACTTTGGTTATACTTTAGGAACTCTATGTTGTAGCTTTTGGCACTCATAAACTGAAAAGCATGAAGGTTGCTGCTGGAAGAATTAATGAAGATTTAAAATGCTGTTTGGGTTTTCAAGGATTTTGAGCCACTTCTTCTTTCAAGTAGTTTTCACATAATTTGAGATAGTATTTACCCATAAGCATTACAGAATGGTGTTGTGTGAGCAAAACCAACAGTAATGTTAACCAGTATTCTTTTAAAAAAAAAAAAAAAAAGTGGGAATATCCCAATAGCACATAAGATATCTTGTTTATTTAGAAATCCTAAAATCATGGGGATTTCTGCCCACATTTTGTTGATCAATTTTTAGAATATCATAAGAAAGTGTTAAAATTCCAACTTAAAACACTTGTTGACTGTGGTCGATAACTGAAAGGCACTTAGATCTGCATTTGTAACCAAGAAGTTTTGATATATTGAATTATACTTTGGTTATTTTACTTGCTCCTTTCACTCACATTGCTTATTTTCTTTCATTGGGAAGATGCAATAATAAATTTGCTCACACTATGGATCACTAGACTATTCTCTTAAAATAGCAGGTCTTAAAAACCTGGAATGGCATTCTTTTCCCATCCATTCCATTAGATCCTCTTTGTGTTTATCACCAATATATTTCATTTTGCAGGTTTGCCACTAAAGGGAATTGCATTCAGTTTGTAACAATGTAATGATGGCCTTCCATGCAAACAGGTTAAAGGAAATCCATTTCTAGTTTAAGATGTTACCAGATTTTTATAAAGTAGCTTTTTACTTTCTCTTGTCTTGACTAACTTTGATCTATAAACACCAATGAGATCTTCTCTTAAATCCTCTCTGTGTAATTCAATTTGCCACTATTTAAATGTGTTTCTTCTTACCCAATTGGTTATGTATTACTAAAGCATATTTACAAAAGCCTCCATATAGAAGCACTGCCCTCTTGAATTGTCAGTGTCATTGATGCTTATTGTCTTAAACACTAATGAGCATGTTTTTGTATGTTTATTTTTTGTTTCATTGTAGAATGCATTTCTAGTCTTTTTTCCTATTAAACGTTTCCTTGGTTTGTCTATATTAGTACATTTTAGCCATAGAAAATGTAGGTTTCTTTTTTAACTTTCAAATATGCTTTCAGGTATACATAAGTACTAGCATTCATTTATACGTTAGTAAAGAGGTTGCCTCTCCAACTTGGTTCTACAATAGCATGCAAACTGGAGTTAGTGAATACACTTACAACAGGAACCAGGACTTACAGTTTATAGGAAATATGAATACACATTATGGGGAGAGAGTTTATAGAAATTGAAATGGGGGAAAAGGACAGGCATGTTTTGGTTTTGTTTTGTTGTTTTAAACTAGGGACAAGTGTGTTTTGGGTTTGTTTTGTTTTTTTAAACTACTACATTTTGCTAGTTCTAAAGGCTAAAATCATGAACTGTTTCTTTTTTTCAGCAATTACCTGTTTTGTAGCTTTCTGAACCTTTAGCTTTTCTCATATTTTTCTGGTATTCCCAGCAGTTGAGAGCCAGAACTTTTAACATGACAGCCATGACCATGTAATCACAGCAGTCTGGGCTGGAGCTTTAAAATATCTTAGGATTTGCCACTGTTACTGTCAAACATTAAGACTCAGTTGTGTTTGTGTCATTTAATATGATCTGTAGAAATAGATTTAAATGTGATTTTTGAGGTCAATATTTATGCAGAAATCCCAGTGATGCTGGGATGTTAGCAGTAGGAATTGCTTGACCAAAGTTTTCAGGATTTGGCTCGTGCTGGAGAAAGTAATGGACAGGAAGTCAGAGTTCACACTACAGTGGGTGGTTTATAATAACCCCACTTCAAAGTGCTTAAGGTATTTTGTTATCTTCTGAGGAATTAACCAGAAAAATGAGCTTCCAGACATGTTAGTTAATAGTCCTCATTTTTTCCTTTATCCCAATTTGGCATCCTTGTAAAGCTGCCCTGACTGTCCAGAAATATTTCAGTTTCATGCTAGAAACTTCATAGCATGTTGTCAGTTTTCAGGTCTCTAATGTATTTTTTCATTTGAGAAGGTGACCAGAAGTTCTTTTTAAAACAAAAAAGTATTTCTTTTCACTTTATTTGTTACAGGTCAGCCTTGCCAAGTAACTGAAATACATGCTTTCACTAACAAAATTGCTTGATGGGTCAGTCACAGCTTCCTTGCAGGCAGCTTAATGAAATTTTCTTGTCCTCCTCAGTTGCACAGTTGTTCGCATTTTGCTAATGTGTTATTGTAGGAGTCATACCATCAGTTTGAAAGTTACTTTTCTTCTCCCATCCCATGTCCTCTCCTGCCCTTTTCATTGCCAACAGACATGTCAGCAGCAGTGACAGAGTAGGAAAACCCTACCGTGGTGTGAAACCAGTATTCAGCATCGGAGATGAAGAAGAATATGATACCGGTACAGTAGATTTTCTTCTTGCCTAGATTAGCTTATCTAGACAAAGTTATTAAATTTGGCTAAATCGTAAGAGTGTACGTTACATCTTTGTCTTACAAGATGACGTTTTTCTAACTATTACCATTGATCTTGTTTGTTATGGTGGAGTCTAGGAACAACCAAGAAAGAAACATCCTCTTCAAATATATAATAGCAGACTAAGTAAAAAAGATTTTGTGGTAGGTGCCAAACAGCCAACAGGGAGAAGTGGAAATAGATGGGTTTAGTGCATCGTTTCTGTTCACTTGTTATTTCTGTAGTAAAGATCTCTATCTACACTGGTCTTGTACGTGTAAACCTGCAATTGTACCTCTACTACTCACAACAGTAAGCAAAATGTAAAGGACCTAGTCTGGCTCATAGATCTCAGGCTGAATCTCTAGCATTGGCAATTATAACAGTCTGAATTTCTGAAAATATAGTTGAAGCTACTTAAGATGGGTAAAGTGCACACCTCTCCAGTGTTTTGTACTTTGCTTTTTGGCATTGAATCTATTAATAATTGAGTCATCACTTGATATGCATGCAGAATGCTGTATAAAAACATGCAATCTTTATTTAATTTTTTTATCTAGTTGAAAAATTACAGGGAGAACTAGAACACCACACTTTTCACAAAGGTTTTCTTTTTCGAGACCAGCACTAATGTTAGAATGGTGCAGACCTACTCCTGTTCTGGTTTTGTTCTGGTAGTGTTAGCTCACTCCCAGCCATCACCATCTCACAAGTAACTGTTCTGTGACCAAAGGCATACTCGGCTTCATGTGAGAAACAAATAACAGGACTAAGAATTTTTGACCTGCAAAAGAAATAATTTAGGAAGATTAATGAAAGAGATTCATAGGATCTAGAGTTGTTTAAATAAGATAGCAGACAAACAATGACCAACTGTTTGTCATCAGTAAGAACTGGGAAGGAGCAAAATGAAACTATCAGGCAAAAGCTTTAACACTAACAAGATACTTCTCCAAATGCCATGTAATTAAGTTTGCACAGTTCTTTGAGCATCCATAATAGTGTTTGGCAAAATCTATGTGGATTCAGAAAACCAGGTCCTCAAAGACGAATTGTCTAGAACATATTTTCAGAAATGGTTGTTTGCTAATTTCTATTTACATTTGCTTTTAAAAGCACTATTAGACTTAATAAGTAAGCAGAATCACTGCAATGATTTGAATAAGCAAAGCCAACACATATGAAGTGAAATATATGTTATTTTGGTACAGAAGAATGCAAAAAATGAACTTGTTTCTGTAAAACTGCTTTTGTGAAGTTTTAGTGTGGGTTTTGTAATAAATAATTGCAATCAGCTGTAATAATTGCAGCCTGCTCTAGGTGACCCTGCTTGATTAGGAGAGTTGGACCAGATGACCTCCAGAGGTGCCTTCCATTCTCAACCATTCTGTGATTCTGTGAAATGATGGGTTTTGTTCCATTCCTTGCAATTTCGTAATGTATTTTTTCAGTGGAAACCTTTTCAGAAGTTTGGCTATAATTCTGAATTGCTTTGAAATAAATAGTTTAACAAAGCGTAGAAAACCAGCTTTGAAAAAGACACTTTAAAGAGGTGTCCTTCGAAGTTATTTCTGGGAGTAACTTCTGTGGATTTAAAGTAGTTCATTGTTTTAGATAAATAGATTGCTTAAATTCTTCTAATGTAGCACCAAACTACTATGTAAACATAATCACTATATTTAGACATAAAACCAGTATTTTGCAACTAAGTGATAATACTTGCAGGAGTTTTGGGTGTTTAACAGAGGTCTGTGCTGAAAATTTTGGGTTTGAGTATGTTCTTAAATGTCCTTAGAAAAGGAGGTGAACCAGAAGACAACAATTTCTGTTAATGATTCAAGGTTATTCAAGGTTGTAAGGGTAGACTGAAGAAGGAGTCTTTTGCTAGTCTGAGTGACTGGGCAATAAAATGGCACATGAAATTCAGTATCAATTAATGTGAGGTGAAAAAGACATGGGAAAAAAACAGTTCTAGACAAAACGGTAGACTGATTTGGCTGTGTCCAGGAGCAGTAGGTTTATAATAAGTAGGTGCTCATTAGCAGTCAGAAAAGCAAATCAAATGTTAGGAATTATAAGGAAAGGAACAGAGAATAAAACGGAGGTCATTATGTCACTGTATAAACCTATGGTTTACCCACACATTGAATATGGTTTGTCTTGATCCTCTACCTGAGAAACAATATGTTTGAACAGGAGAGGGTTCAGAGAGGGATAAGAAGGGTGAGGAAAGATGCGAAATGGCTTTCATAACAGGCATAACTGAATATTAGAACATTGGTTATGTGACATAGGCAATTTAAGGGAGGAGAAGTGGCCCACAAAAATAACGCCTGGCCTGGAAAGGGATCAACAAATGTTTATTTCTTCTTGTACAAGAAACTAGAAGCCACAAAAGGAGGCTTTCCTGGAATGTAGTTGACATATCTTTGGTACTTCTTGCCAAAAGATATTGGTGTTGTAGCTGCAAAAAGTTCACATGGCTTCAAGGAAAGTCTGGACAAGTCCATGTAAAAGACGTCTATTAAACTTTACTGAATGGACAAATCAGACCAGCCTAAGAAATCCCCTGAGCTGAAAATAGTTGTCTGCTGAGAGAGAATTGGAAGAGAAATATCAGATATGCATGCCTTTTTCTTTCTTCCCTCTGAACAATTGTTTATGGCTAGGTGGACCTTGGTTTGAACCAGTGTAGCTACTGTGGGTTTAAGTGAGTTGAAAATTTCTCTGATGTTGTGTGAAAATCTTTTCTTTTTTTTTTTTATTTTTTTTATCCCCTCCCTTCAAAATAGATGAAATTGATAGCTCCTCTATGTCAGATGATGATCGAAAAGAGGTCGTCAACATCCAAACATGGATAAATAAACCTGATGTGAAGTATAACTTCCCCTGTAATGAAGTAAAAGAAAATGGACATATGTTTCCCAGGTACTGGAATTAGTCCTAAGCTTAATGAAAATGTCTGTCTTGATACACATTTTAAAAAAATATATTGGGCAATTAAATTATTCTTTATATTAAACTAGGAAATGAAGGCGTGAAACAGCCTAGAACAAAGTGTTACCACTATATTTGCATTCATATATTTGCAGTGTTACAGAATGGTAGTGATGTACAAAACCTAGTATGAATTTTTGCTTTGCAAAACAAGATAGTAAGAAAAGTATTCTCAGTATACATAGGCTTATTTTTCAAGACCAGGTAGACCCAAGTACCTGTGGCTCCAGTTTTTCTTGTCTGCTTGTCTCTGTGCCTTGTACTATGCACCCATCTTGCCCCTAAGATTCAGTGACCTTGTTAATCCTGCAAGAGCAGAACATGATGCTTGCTGTATTTGGCTTCCCCAAAGAGTACAAATCCTGTTTAATCTGGATAACAGAAAACTGTGATGGGCTTTCTGTTGCATCATGGTCCGTTCTTGTCTTTTATTATTAATTTTATTTTCCCATTAGATTTATTTTATATGGTGTATGATTAGTAATCTGTCATAGTATGATTTCTCAAACTGAGTTGGAACTCAAGTAGTCTGTTCCTACCAGTAGTTGAACATGCATTCCTTCCATGAAGAAGGCTAAAGTGGGTCTTGAACTGAGCTGGCAGGTCAGTGTCTCCACCTTAGTGCTTGCACAGTGATTGACAATCATGGTGTGCCAACATGTCCTTTTAACTTAGGTCTGATGCTCCACATGTAGAGTTGCCACTTTCTATAGATGGAGGGATGGGGTTGGGGTATGATTGAAGGATGAAAGAGAGAGGCTGGAGGCATTTTCCTTATTCTGTGTGTGGCCTGACACTTCAGTGGTGGTTGTGATCTTTGTTAATAGCACTCATGGCTGTTGTGTTGAGGTGGTGATGTTAACTGCTCACTCAGGTTTTGTATGCTGTTGAGGATGCCATGCTTGTTTTAAAAAATGGCTGGGACACAGTACTCAAGGAAAATCTGCAGTATTTAGTAGACCTTTCTAAATTACAGATTTTAAAAGTATTAAAACTGTTTCTTGGATTTGAGAACTGTTTTCTCTAGCTCTCTCCATGTAGCTTATTTGTAGAATTTGCCTTTCTAAATAGCTGTTATTTAGTTCATTAGCAAATTTAATTTGTTTGTTTTTTCTTTTCCTTCAAGTCATCTCCTAGTAACAGCAACTCATATGTACTGTTTGAGGGAGATTCCATCGCGAAAGGGACTGGCTTACATACAGTCTCGACAGGCACTTAATTCTGTAGTCAAAATCACATCCAAGAAGAAACATCCAGAACTGATCACCTTTAAATATGGAAATAGCAATACTTCAGGCATAGAAATTTTGGCAGTTGAAAGGTAAGCCATCTCAGTAGCAGAGAGGTAAGTAGTAATGATATACAGAACGCTGTCAACTGGAAATCAGGCATGCTGTAATTCCAAGAATTGAGGTCAAAAGTAATAGTTTTTATTTGGGAATAGATAATTCAGATGTGAACTAGAAAAAAAGATCTGCCAGCAGAATGAGGAGAGTTTACAGCACCCAGCAGAGAGGAGCTCCGTGGTCTGCAACAACAGTTGTTGGGGATGGGATGTGTGCAAGTGTTTTCTTTTTGTAATATGTCTTAAATGGAAATGAAGTGGACAACTATTTGCACCCTAAAGTATGGATTTGTGAAGAGTGGGATTTAAGAGAGTGGTCTTTCTTCTGTGGTATCTTTTTTTGAGACATCTGACTCTTCCTATGCATTGTACAAGGAGTCCAGAAGCCTAACTCCAAAACTCAGAACCCCTGAAACTTGGTTCCTGAAAGTTAGGTATTGCCATGCTCAGCACTTGTGTGCTTAAGACTGGGAGGAAGTCAGAGGCGTGGGTGGATTGGGCTTTTTTCCACTAGTAGTCTGTTGTTTCTTGGCACTGTTTTAACAAAGTTGTGACATCAGCTGGACATTTTCTCAACCTCTTCCTTGGGGATAACTGGGTGCAGTGGGTGCTCTGTTTTCACAAGAAGTGGAAGATGAGTTTCCTAGCTAAGTAGGGAAGTTGTTCTATGCCTTTTGGCTCCTTAGAATGAAGTTAGTTTGGTAGTAGGTCAGACAAAGATAAATTAAAATGTTGCAGAAAACTGTGCTGCTTGTTGAATTACTTCATCACCACCTTGTTGACTGGAGCAAATCCACAAGAGAAAGGATTGTAAATAAATGAAGCTATCTATAGCAATTAAACAAAAAAAGAAAAAAAAAAAAAAAGACAACTGCCATGTGTCAGTTGGATAGCGCTTTCTGTACAGATCTTGAACTGCCTGATCTATACCATTGTCAGTTAATGAAGAACTTTTCCTTTCCAGGATGGCCTGTGAAGTACTCCTCAACAGTTCTAAGTTCACAAACGGAAAGTGTTTCATAGCATAAACAGGAAATAAATGTTACTTTCTCAGTAGTTTTTCATTTGAATATATTCCCCCCTCCTTCCTCCTAGTTTGTTCCAGAGGAAAAATCAAAACAAGAATTATGGAATTGATACTCAAAAATCTTGTAGTGAATTAATGATGGCTTTTTCTAATCTTTTTTTTAAGGTATTTGATTCCAAATGCAGGTGATGCTACCAAAGCCATAAAACAACAGATCATGAAAGTATTGGATGCCTTGGAGAGTTAATAACTAAAGACTTTGTAGAGAACGGTTTATAAAGAAGAAGCAACCAAGAGACTGTATGTGGACACAAGCTGACTGTTTCCCAACTGAATACTAACTTAAGAGAATTTTTCTGTTTGCTGATGGGAGTGCCTGAGTAGCAGGCTTAAGATAGGGTAAATTATTATCGATTTCTGAACGGGATTTTTAATTTTTTTATTATATTTTTTTTTGTTTTGAAGAAATGTTTATTATAAAGGTCAGTTTGTTTCATTTTTAATGCAGCCTTAGAGTGTGTGATATGCATCTTTGCAAGAGAAGATGCAGCTAGGTTCACATTGAGTGTGTTAAAGGAATTAAGCACTGCCAGATACCGAGCAGCAGTTGAAAACAGAATGTTTTTTAAATTACTGTCCCTTGAAAGTGAAGTGTCTCCATTGCCTGCAGTCTATAACTTTGATTTTGCCTAGTGGGTAGTATCGAGGACTAATTAAAAACTTAGGTTTATGAGCAGAGCAGATAAAAATCTTAGAAATAGTAGTTCCTTCTCATTAAAAATGATTAAGTCCAGCTTGGACTGCAGATAAACAGAAAAATATTCAAGCAATTTATAAAATTAACTTTTTTAAAAGTCTTATCAACTGCTAGGTTAAACAATTGGAATTGGTGGTAAGGATATTTTTAAATACCAAAATGAACTGTGCACAATAAGCTTTTACTACAGGGTTGTGACTTTTTTTAATTATGCAGAATGTGATAGTTGAAAACAAGTTTGCTTGCTCCTCAGAAACAAAAAATTTAAGATAGTAATTAGACCTTTAAAAAGGTTGGCACAGAAGTGAGTATGTGCTGATCGAAGGTGTGTTCAGCAAGAAAATTAATGCACACAAATAAAGAGAAGAGTATTCAAGTGCTATATATACCTGTGATAAATGTATTCATTACCTGTTGCCTTCATTGATTCAAGCATTTGTTCATATTCTTTTAACTAACATCTTCTAAATTAGTTAATGTTTGAGAGATGGCAGCTATGTGATTGTTTATCAGCAGCTTTCCACTTGTTCCAAGAACGGTTCTCTTGTTAAAAAGCTTAGTACACGAATGTTCTTATGGCCAGGGCATAGCATCTTTGTAGACTGATGTGGAAATTACCAAAAACTGTGAAATAAAGATAATAAGAATTAGCTTTCCTGCGTGAAGTCTTCTGAGTATTTGAATCAAAACCTGTGAATTGGTACATCATAAGGAGGTAAAATAAATTAAACTGACCTTTATAAAAAACAGTTATTCTAAGTTATTTTACTAGGGATCAAGCTAGGGCACCTTAATTCTGGAACTAATTCCTTTTTTTTTTTTTTTTTTTCCTTTTCCCTCTTCTTAGTATCTGAGTAAACACTAATAGAACTTGAACTGTTGAAGATATTTGCATGAAATTGCACCTGGGCCAATGCTCATGTATTTATAGTTTTGCCCAGCAGCTGTTGTATTACATTTTCCTCTTCCTACTCCCTTCTGAAAATATCCTGAAGAGTCTCTGACTCTGTGCCTACTTCAGCAATGAGATTTTTTTCATGTAAAGATGTTTGTGTTACTGTTTATAAACTACAGTTGTAAATAAACCAGTACAATTTGAACATAACTTGTTCTGTCAGAAAGCATTTAGTTGCATGCTGTGTGAATTCTCTGAAGCAATTAACAGTTTTTCCTAAAGGTATTTTGCAAATGGAAGTGAATTTGATCTTTGGAGTGATCAAGAAGCTGATTATGGATCATAGGAAGCTACTGTCAGTGACATCTTAATGTAAGTATTTTGGAATTTAGACCAAGACTAATTTCATTAAATACTTTGGGGTAAGCATTCATAGAAAGGTGAAAATGAGTTAACAAATGGTCATATTATAGAAGGGGTCTCTGCAAAAAAAATTCCAGACTTCTCAGCATCATATTTTTGTATTATGAAAATGTTGATAAAATGGTACAACAGATTTCTCATAGTCATTGGGCGGGGGGATTGTGAAAAGTACCCAAATATACCTGTTTAACAACTGAGTATTAAATATGGAAAGTAGGTAATGCATATGCTCCTCTATGAGGACAACAAATACAGACCTTTTAAATCTACAGTGAGTAAACCTACAGTAAGTCAATTCTTAAATCTCTTCTGTGTAGAAATGTATAATCCAAGCCATTAACAGGCTAATTATTTGTAATTTTTAAGGCAATGTGCAAGTTATCAACGGACTTCCTATCTTGCAAACCTCAGTCCAAACTATGAATAATTTCAATGGTGTTTTATGCATATCTACCCACAATTTAAAGGCTACTTTTGCCTTATAGTGTATGTATCTGTAGTTAGCGTGTTTGCTGCAAAAATTGTATTGCTAAGCAGAAATTCCAATTATAGTACTAGAGTGACAGTTTTTTAAAAGAAAAATCAAAATAGTCAGTATGCTACTTCTGTCCCTTTCATCTTCAAGGAATTTTGTTTTGCATTATTTGCCAGGGGTTTGCAGGCTCTTGTTTTATTTTGCGCACACTGCTGTCTATATTGTTGAATATGATGGCTGCTATGTTGCTGGGATTTTAATTTGTATTTATTTTGGTAATAGAAACGAGGTCTGTAACAGGAAAGAAACACTCTTCTCAGAGTAAGCTTTCCTGCCAAATGGAAGCCCTTACCTTTATATTTCATAGCCAGGGTCAGTGCTTCTGTGCTTACTGATGGCTCTTCAGCTGGCTCACAGATTCTTTTAGATTCTGAGCTGTATGAGAATTTGTACAAAACTTTACATGTATTACCCACAAAAAATACTCTTGACTGTGGAGATGCGATTTTATTTACATTGCCTTCTCCATATGCAAGTAAAGATCACTTGCTGTTCTTTGAGTTCCTGTTACACATGGGTCTCAGCAGTGTTTGTAGCTTTTTCCTTCCAAGTGCATTTCAGCTGTAGGTTCAAACCTTTTGATACTGTCAAATAACCTTTTTCAATATAGGCATAGTCTACTGAATGGCTGGAAAGTTCCCCCTTTTGGGGAAGGAGGGGGGTGATAGTGTGTAAGTTGTTCTTTTGGGTGTATTTAGTGCTTTCAGATATTTTTGTTTTGAACCTTGACAAATATACTGTTATCTCTCTGAACCATGGGAAACACTGGGTTTTTAGCCTGTGTTTTTCACCTTGAAGGGATGATACTGCTTCACTACTTATTTCTTATTTTGTGCTCTGCCCTAAACCTTGTGTGAACTCAGGAGACAGCCGTTCTCCACACCTGGAGTCCTGCAAGGTGTGCTGTTCAAAAAAAAAACAAAAACAAACAAACAAAAACCAAACAACTTTGTATATGCTGTTTCTGCTACCATGGGCATGTGTAAAAGGGAGGGAGGCCTGCCAAAGTGCTGCTGCATCCCCTCCTCATCTGCAGTTGTCCACTGTCAGTAATTTTTCCATCCTTTGCCTTACCCAGTTTGGAATGAGGTGCTCCCTTTCCTGCTCCAAAGGGTTAGATTGAAGGTTTTTTCTGTTGAAGGAAGGTTTGTAACTGCTGCACACAGTGGTGGTTGTGCATTTTATGGCGGTTGCATACTTCTCCTCCTTTATCTCTTGCATGTTTCCTGAAAGTGGCTTCAGCCCAACGTGTGCAAGAGATTGATCACCCTGGGTTACCCACTTTGTTTTATCTTTGCCCCTTCTGCTGTCGTGTGCTTTCAACTTGTGGAGATATTCTTGCGTGAGAAATACTACCTCTACCCAACATGAATCTACAGTTCTACAAACATGCTTTTAAAAAGCCTGAGACTGCGGCCTCACGTGTGTATTTTACAATGTTCTGTGTTGAGTAACAGGGAGCACTCGGTGTTTAGTAATAAAACCACCATGGCAGTTAGCATATTGGTTTCTACCTTCGAAAATGCTGCACTTGTAAAAGAAGATGGGAATGTGCCAGGTGAAGGGCTTACCTGTAAACTGCTAGAGATCTCTTGGGACGAGCCCTTAACAAATTCAGGGCTGCTACCCATCACACAGGGCTGGAAAAATGCAATGTCAGCACATCAGCTCTGGGCCCAGCACCAAGAGATGTAGACGCACAGCTGTGTTTTTGCCGAGTGCTGTACTGGCACTGGAGGAGTACTCCCAGCTCCCTGCCATCTGCTGGGGTTACACAGGGGGGAAGGCTCGGCAGCCATTTGGGGTTGGGGTACGTCATCCCCTCCTCGTTCCTGCTCTGAAGGCGGGCTGCGCCGCTCCCTCGAGCTCTGTCAGCAAAACTGCGTGGGGAAGTGCTGCGAAATCGGGTCAAAGAACTAGCCAGACTTTTTAAAAGCAGGATAGGCGTCGTTTTCAAACAAATCCCGCCGCAGGCCCCTTTCCTGCCGGGGCAGTGGCAGGCGCAGCCGCAGCCGGGGCGGGACTACATTTCCCAGCAGCCCCGTGCCCGGTGCCCGCACGCATGCGCCGTGCCGGGCCGCCCCGCTCTATAAGAGAGGAGCCGGGGCCGTGTGGGGATGCAGGCGGCGCGCGGAGCCATGGCCAGTGAGTGGCGGCGTGCGCGGAGGAACGGTTACTTCCTCTCCTCCTCCTCCTCCTCTTCCTCCTCGCACTCCCTCCCGGCCCGGTCCCGGCCGGCGACGTGGGGAAAAGGGCCGACATGGGGTTGAACTCGCCCTTCTAGCGGAGCTCCGGCCTCCCGCCCCGGGCCTCAGCCGGGGAGAGGGGCCGCGGCGCAGTGCCGGCTTCCCCCGGGGGCCGCCCTCAGCCGCTGCCGGCCCCCGCTTCTCCCCAGCGGGCCCTTAGCCTCTCACCTGGCTGTGGGGAAGGGCCGCGGGCTGGCTGCTGCCGCGGCCGGTAGTCGCCGGTCGTAGTCCGGGCCGGAAAGGCCTCGGCCCTGGGTGGTGTCTCTGAGCCTTCGAAGGGGTGTGAAATAATTCAGGTTCTGGAGGGAGCTGCCCTGGGCATGCTGGCTGTGTAATGGACTGGTAGGGAACGCCTGCCGTGCTTCTGTCGGTACTGCTGCAACCGTCAGCTTGTCGGGAAACTTCATCCGAACAAACCGGGCGTGCTGAGCTTCTGGTTTCCCAAAAAAAACGTGCTTCGTAGTGATACAAATGCGAACCAGTGTTGTACCCCGATACACTTTTACCTGGTTGTGGTTTGCATTGCTATAGGCTTATCCTAAGAATTGCTTTTAAAGAAGTTTTTGAGGCAGCTTAGCAAGGCCAGAAGAGGAGATCTTGGGCCTTTACAGCACTGTTGCACGTGTCTCTGTATTTCTATTACTTCTACACCTCAACGCTAATTTTAAACAAAACTGTGGGTACAAGTACAGGTATTTTGTTGTGGCTGACCTTTAATTCTGCCCTTTAACAAACTCCAAACCCGAGGCGTAGGGAAAATAAGATTAATGGTTTCCTGGTGGTTTAAACATTATGTGAAGGAAGTTAGGTAAAATTTTTCCTGGTAGGTGCTCTTTTGGTTTTCTTGCAAAAGTGACTTTATGCTGAAATGTAAATCTTTAAGTGTCCAATTTTTCTGAGCTAAAACACGTTCCACAAATATGGGAAAGTTTTAGGCAGATTCTTAGTATGGTTATCTATGTGTGTCTGGAAGCTAACTATGGTGACATCTGTTCAAAATCTCAGTGAAGCTTTGTTTACTCAATAAACCAAATAGTAAGAGTCTCTCATGTGGAGAGTGGCAAAGTGAGCAGTTAATCATCTGCTTAACCTCTAGAAATTAGCTGCTTAGCTACTGAAGTGAGAACTAAAGTAGGAAGAAAGATATTCTGCCTTGACTGTTCCTGACCACATCTCATCTTCACTTGAATCAGTTCATTCTGTTTCCCTGACCACTGAGGCTGTGTCGCTTGCTGCTTTTTCTTTATCCCGTAGTGGTCTTTGTATGGCAGGGGAGTTTTCCAGAGAAGAGAGGTGCTTTGAAACTGAGGTACTTTTCTATGAAGTCAGAGTGTTGTTTTTTTTTTAAAAGGAGATGGTTCTACCTGATCAGGATGTGTTTTCTTACAGCCCAAGGTACTAGGAGACTCATGGAAGGAAGTCCAAGGGGTGTGCACAAAACCTGGTTTGATCTCTCCCACTTGCGTACTTCAAGATCCTGCAAATATAAATCCTGCTTAGCCACAGTAGAGACAGTGTTGATAACACTTGTGATTGTCCCTTGGCTAGAAACCAAATTGCAAGGAAATGATCAGGAAAGATGTTATCTTTATGGGTTTTTTATAGCCATTTCCCAGGCCAGGTGTGATTTGAGGGATAAAAGCAAACTATTCCCATATTTGGTGCTTTTGGGATTATCCAGTCGTTTAGTTTGCTAGTGGCATTTTAGGACATGCAGTGTTCAGCAGGCAACGGGTGCAACATAAAGATAGGCTCACAAAGCGTGTAGCAAACTGGGAAGGAAGAAGCAGGTCTAGGTTGACTAGTGGTCTCCCTTTCTGTCACACAGTATCTTACAGTAGAACTTAGGCTGGATACTGCCTAGGCTAAGTGTTACTAGCATGTGAACTCTGTGATCTTTGACCTGAGCAGAGTGATGGCTATGTATGGTTCCCATTAGCAAGCCTAGGTTTGAATGTTCTCCCTGTTTTAAGAGACTGTTTCCAGAGTCACAGACCACAGAATGAGTTGGAAGTGGGTTTTGTATATGTTAATAAATAAGCAAATTTATTTTGTTAAATGCTCATTAGTGGATTCAAATTTTGAAGAGTTTTTCCTGGGGGAATTCTGCTAATTTTTTTTTTCTGCCATTAGACTTCCGCCTGGCTCTTATTCAGCTTCACGTATCTGCTCTTAAATCAGATAACCTTCAACGAGCCTGTGGACTGGTGAGAGAAGCATCAGCTAAAGGAGCAAAAGTTGTGGCTCTACCTGTGAGTAAAGATCATGGTCTTCTTAGCAGCTATACCTCAAACCCTTGGAAACCTCTTTCTAGTGTTAGTCATGCATTATATATTCCTGTTTCTCTCTGGATAGCTTAGATGCTGTATGAGATTCCAAAATAGGAAAAAAACAGGGGTTCTGTCTAGCAGCACACTTAAGAGGGGGGAAAATGAGAAGCAAAAATAAAAAAAAGCAGGTTGTCTTTTTTGTGATATAAAATTCTGGTTAAGTTTGTGCTGGTTTAAATCCCAGGCAATTCCGTCACTGGTATGTTCTGAAGTCACAGAAGTGACACTGTGGTTTGAATCTTTGCAGAAGCCTTCCGGCTAGAAATGTAGGGAAAGGCGATTTTCAGCTAAAGAATGTTGATACAAAGATGAAAGAAAACAAGTATACAGTGACTCTCTTTGCTATAATCATTCCAGATTAGATAGTACATGAGAAACAAAATAGACTTAAGACATTTCCAGTGGGTCATTTGTGGCTGAATTATGATTAAAATGTATTCTCTTCTGATCTCCTTGTGTGGGAACATAAATAGCCACTTAAAATTACTGATCATTTTTTATTTACTTTTTGGACTTCAGCCATGATTACTGTGCTGAATTTTCGTACAATGAGTGCGCTGGCAATGAAGTGACCTTCCCAGTGCAGATTTCAGCTTTTTTCCTCTGTTCCTGGGGATATGTGTGTTTACCCTTGTGCCCTGCAGCATCTGACTCAGGGAGTGCAAAGTTCTTCTCTGAGTGAACTTTTGGTCTGAATATTTTACACATAGAATGTTTTCCCTTCTGCTGTCACAGGCGAGGTCTTAAGCAACCCTCCTAGCTCCTCTGTGCTAACACAGCCCTTGTGTTGCAGATGTTACCTTTGATTATTCCCTCTGGGCCTCCTACATTGAGATTATCTATTATTTGCTAGTTTCATCATGTGTACAAGCATCGAGTTTTCCAGACCTATTTAGTTGACGTACTTGCTTTGCCAATGACAATTTATGCTTTTAGAGTAAAATTTGTCAAACAAGGGCAAGGTTTTTCAGAGACTTTTGGGAGGTAAATTTTGTGCTGGCATTAGGATGTAAGCCTAGGATGAAATATTCTCTTCCCTCCACTTTTTTTTTTTGTTTTTTAATGTCACACTAGGTAAAGAACAAAACTAACTTGCACTGAGTATATAATCTACACCTTTGCAGAGGCGTACAGCAGTTTTCCTGTGACATGTTAGCCTTGACGTGTTAAACTTTTTTCACTTCTGAACTAGGAAAAATTTGTGAGAGAAAACCAATTTGTAATGTTTATGGATAAAGAAGTAAAAACAGAATCCCATTTGAATCTAGAAACTGATAGACAGCACTTCAAAGATCTGTCCCTTATTCTTACCACTTTGGAGAGAATCATAGAATGATTTAGGTTGGAAAAGACCTTCAAGATCATCGAGTCTAACCATCATCCATGCCCACTAAACCATGTTCTGGAGTACCTTGTCTATGCGCTTTTTTAATACCTGCAGGGATGGTGACTCAACCACTTCCCTGGGCAGCCTATTCCAATGTCTGACAACCCTCTCGGTAAAGAAATTTTTCCTAATATCCAAACTAAATCTCCCTTGCCACAACTTGAGGCCATTTCCTCTCGTCCTGTCACCAGCCACCTGACTACAACCCCCCTTCAGGTAGTTGTAGAGAGTGATAAGGTCTCCCCTCAGCCTCCTCTTCTCCAGACTAAACAGCCCCGAACACAGTACTCAAGGTGCAGCCTCACTAGTGCTGAGTACAGGGGAACAGTCGCTTCCCTGCTCCTGCTGGCCACACTATTTCTGATACAAACCAGGATGCTGTTGGCCCCCTTGGCCACCTGGGCACACTGCTGGCTCACATTCAGCCGGCTATCAACCAGCACGCCCAGGTCTTTTTCCACCGGGCAGCTTTCCAGCCACTCTTCCCCAAGGCTGTAGTGCTGCATGGAGTTGCTGTGACCGAAGCGCAGGACCCGGCGCTTGGCCTTCTTGAACTTCATACGATTGGCCTCAGCCCACCGATCCAGCCTGTCCAGATCTCTCTGTAGAGCCTTCCTACCCTCAAGCAGATTGACTCTGCCTCCCAACTTGGTGTCGTTTGCAAATCTGTTGAGGGTGCACTCAATCCCCTTGTCCAAATCATCGATAAAGATATTAAACAGAACGGGGCCCAACACCGAGCCTTGGGGAACACCACTTGTGACCCGCCACCAACTGGATTTCACCCGATTCACCACAACCCTCTGGGCTCAGCCAGCCAGCCAGGTTTTCACCCAGCGAGCACAGGACTAGGGGATCGGTGCAGACAGCCTGCAGTTTTGTTCCAGCATTAACTTACGAACAGCCCTATGCACTGCTAGTGCAACCTTGCACAGAGCTCTGCCTGTTCTCTTGAGCCTATGGTTCCAGTACCATCCCCATTGACACTGCAAGTGGCAAGATGAAGGTGGAGGCAGCTGGCATTGCTTTCATTTCCTTGAAGTTCAATCCAACTTTCAAAAGCATGGGAAGCTCATTTGACAGCATGCAGAGACTTCCCTTCCTGCCTCTTTCATCTACAAATTGTGCTGTGGGTTAGTTGGTAGCTGCTGGCCCAGTATACAGGGCAAAAACATCCATCCAGTTTTGGTTCAGTTATTCCAGTTTAGTAGAATCTACTACGGTTGTTAAGTTTGCTTGAGTGATTAAGGCATAAATTTACCGTGCTATTCACAGCTTGGGTTTTTTTTTTGGTTTTTTTTTTTTTGGTCTTCGTACAACTTCCAGCAAGCAAAGGTAACAATTGAGGTGGGTGCTTGGGCTGGGAATCACTTGCTGAAGAGTAGGTGCTGGTACTGTTTGATAGCCCATCTGTGGCCTTCAGCTATACTCCTTTAGGGGACAAAAAAGTATTGGGAATGGGGATGGCAAGTCTCACATCCTCACAGAGCCAGCAAATATAATGCAGAGTAAAAGCTTTGGATATTTTGGCCATCTCAAATACTGCTAGCCACCTAGTTTAGGCATTTAAACTGCTCTGTTAATCTTACTGTCTAAAGATTACACGACTGGTTCTGAGGGACAGCAAATCTTTAACTAGAGCCTAGGACAGAAGACACTGTTCAGTTGTGAGGAAGTGGTGTTTAAAGGATTGTTTTAGCAAAAGAATAAGTAATTTTGAGAAATGCATGCTTTTGCAAAGGCCCTTTTAAAAATGAAGAAATCATGGGCTGTGGACAAGCACAAGCATCTCACAGCTTTGAAAGGATCTGTTTAGCTTGTAAGTTGGCAAATGAGCTAGGTGGAACTTGTTCCGTTGTTCTGATGAGAACATCCCTTGCTAAGTCTAGACTGATAAATACACTAGCCTTGTAACTTGCAGCTTACATGATACTCCTAGCTCATGTTATGTTTGGCACACGTTCACCAACGCACCCACCACATTTTCTCTGATTGTTAAGTCTCTCTGGTCTCCTGATATGTTCTGATTTGCTTATTGAACTCCCGTAAAATAAACTCCTGTAACTAAAGATTGTCTGAGAACATTGATAGAAGTTTGAACGGTCAAGTACATCTCCTTGCAGTGGTGTTACTGGATTTTAATGTTTTGGTTTTTTTTTTTTCCCCCTAACTCTAGGAATGCTTTAATTCTCCATATGGAACTCAGTACTTTAAGGAGTATGCAGAGAAGATCCCTGGCGAATCAACACAAATGCTCTCAGAAGTTGCAAAGGAGTGCAGCATATATCTCGTTGGAGGTAGTTTACTCTTAGTGACAATCTCATTGAGGGAAATACGGGCAATGTCTAATAGCGCCATTGGATCAACATTCCATATAATACAGTGGGGGAAATCTTTGTTCTCACCTTTACAAAGGATCCATTCCAGAAGAGGATGATGGAAAACTGTATAATACATGTACTGTCTTTGGGCCTGATGGTGCTATATTGGCAAAGCATAGGAAGGTAAGATGGCAGAATATTGTTATTGAAAGGTTTCTCAGCAGTGTTGCACAAATGATTTCATCTGTGCCTAAAGGTGATGTGAATTAGTAGAAGCTTGCATTAACAATAAGTTGTGTACTGTCAGTAAAATTGCATGTAATTTTTATTTGAGACATGTACATACCCCTTCTAAAGGTGGTCATAAACTTGTTCTGGGTAAGGATGACAGAATGCAGAAGGCATGATGGGCTTTTCCCAGATGCTGGGAAAACTGTGGTAGAGAGTAAATCCTGATCCAACTCATCTGTGTACCTTGGTCTAGCTCTAAAATGTAGTGCCACTTACATGGAATCAGGATCTTCCCTCAGGTTCCCAGTGGGTTTAGTCTTTCTGTTACCATAAATACTGTTCTTTACATACTTTTGTGTGCTATATGTATGATCAGTGCAGACAGCTGAAGTCCAAGTCCCATAGTTAAGCTGTGTCTGCTGTTTGTGGTTGATGCTTGCTTACTGTCGTCTTCCACCTGGACATTGCTTTGTGCCGTCTGAGAAACTACCTCCTATTCATAACTGTAGTTATGAGTGTAGTTTCTGTTAACCTGACTATGCATACAGGTATCATTCCTTAGGTGAACAACATCTTATTTCTTTCAAGGAAAAACAAAAAAGAGAATGCAAGGTTACTTGGAACAAATAAGGTGGTGCAGGTATTAATTTATTTGGTGAACTGATTCTACACTTAGCTACACTATTAGATTACTTTCTGAAGTACTATGTTGCCTTCCATCTATCATACCACAGCAGTATGCAAGCCTGGTAGTTGTTTGTAGAATGAGTGCAGGCTTGTACTGTGTAAATATGAACAAATAATAATATAAAAACAGCTGTATTATTAGGAAGCTGTGGTCAGGAACAGAATCTTCATTGCAAGTGAGGGATAAAGACTGTCTGCAGGGGCTAAAAGGCATCTGCACAGATGAAGTCATGGGAACTTTATGACTTGGTGAGGGTATTTTCTGGAGATGTTTTGCAGGAATGGGACTCGGAGAGAAAAACATCACCTGCTTTAACATACTTTAAAATCATCCTGGCAAATTCATTTTGTATGTATCCTTTCTTTTGCAAAATTACTCATTAGATCAAGATATCTAGCTATTTTGCAGGGATTCTTTCCACGAAGAAGATACAGAGCCGTACTCCAAAGTAATTGTAATATTTTAGCTGTTTTTAACTACTCTCTATTACTGCATGGGAGAAGGACAGGGCATTCTAAACGGTATAAACATTTGGTATGTGCATCACTTGGGTCACAAGGATTATATGTGTTGTCTAAAATAGCCAGTCTTTTTTTTTTTTTTTTTTTTTTTTAAATAACTTTAGATGTGTATTTCTGTAAAGAAGAAAACTGCTTTAAATCATCTTTAGGAGATCTCACAATCTTAAGCAATGTTTAGTTGGGATCCCGACAAAAGAGTAGTCTAGATAACAGTAACTAGGAAACACATGCCTAATAGAAAGATGCTCAAAGACCAAGCAGAGAAATTGTTATTAATTGTTATTAATCATACTATAATTACAGGTTCATTTGTTTGACATTAATGTTCCTGGAAAGATACAGTTCAAAGAGTCTGAAACACTGAGTCCAGGGAATAGTTTCTCCGTGTTTGATACTCGTGAGTATAAGACAAGCCCTCTCTTTAAGGAGCTCTACCACAATAACACTACATTCTGGAGTTATCTTTCCCCTCCTCCCCGCCCCCCCCCAGCAATGGATTTTTAGACTATCAGATTTATATTAGGCATTTGAAAACCATGGCAAGTATAGTTTAAGTTTGTTCCAAGCCTGTGGGTCACTTCTGAAACTTTCAAAAAGGCGATATGATTGCAAAAGGACAGAGCAGTAGAAAGTGTTGAAGCATACATCATGGCACTTCCCTTAATAAATAGTGGTCCTATTGATTTGTTAAAGAGAAGTTACTGTATTTTTTCATAGCAGTTACCTCTTTAAAATGATTCTTACAAAACATGGCTTGGAAAAGAATATATGTAGCAAACAGCTACACTGGCACATTTTTTCATGTGAGGATGATAACAATGGAGACAATTAACTGTAAATCCCATTCCAACATTCTTGAATGAACCACATCAGATAAAAAAGCAAGACACCTGCTCCCCCCACTACCATTGTTCAAAAATTAACACATCCTGTTTACTGAGCTCTCTGAAGAGTCTCATCTCCCGTGGTCACTTCTTCCTCCTTGCAATGTGCGTGCTGTAAGAAACTACATGACTGTATCGTTTCTTTAGTCCATGAAGAGCAGTGTGTGCTTTCTTTTCTTGAAAAGAAAATAATTGAAAAAGCTGCAGCTAAATCAGAGAGGAACACATTACACAGAGACCTGATATAACATGATTTTGTAGAAATGGCTGCTGTTAAAGGGTAGATAAGACTGCTTCTCACAGTCTTCCTCTCATCATGAAACATGAATGCTCCCCCACAGATAGCCAATGCTTGTTACAGATAAGGATACACATTTAAATATAGCTCCTCTTGTTACTGTGAGACACGTAAAATAACCACTGGCAGGATGGCTACAGGGAGTCTTGTGATTGCTTTTGTGTACTTGTGATAGCAATATGACTGTTGTCTCTTGTGTTTTGAGAACAGCATACTGTAAAGTAGGCCTGGGCATCTGCTATGATATCAGATTTGCTGAGATGGCTCAAATCTACGGACAGAAAGGTAAGGCTGGGTCACCTAATGGAGCATGGTTAGCCCTAAGGCCTGAACTGTGCAGGGGCGTTTCAGGGTGCTACGTGCTGGGCAGTCTGTGTGATCAGGCACTCTTATTCTCACCTGGTAATGCAAAATGCATCTTGTGGCCAAGACTTTGTTATTCAAATGAGCGTCTGTTCTCCTTGAGTAAAGTAACAATCATTTCCTGATACACAGTTGCTGATGGAGTGATGGAGATAGGTATATCCCAACACTTGGTAATGTATCACAGGCCTTTGCTGACATAAGTATCAGCCATGTCATGCCTGAACAGGCTTTATCTGGTTCCATTTTGGGCAGAGGTCAGGAAGTACTGAAAGAAACCTTGCCTTGAGTTCTCAATGTGAAGGGCCATTCTAGGGTAAACCATCTTCTCCTTAGTGATGGTTGGGTTCTAATTTTCTTTTAACAAAGGTTGCCAGCTGCTGATATATCCAGGGGCTTTTAACCTGACAACAGGACCAGCTCATTGGGAACTTCTACAAAGGGGACGGTAAGACCAAAGTAACAGCTTATCCTTCTGTTCCAGAGGGAATTTCGCTCATGGAACTGAACTGTTCTTGTGTTCTAAATGACACTGTGCATCAGAAATGGTGCTGTAGGGCCACTCTGCTATTGGAGCTGCACCATTCCTCAAGCCTTGCCTGGGACACCAAAATGATTTTGCTGTCAAGGAGAAAAGCAGGAAACGCTTATCCTTCATTCCTGCTCGGCCCTCCCCAGTTATGCCCTTTCAAGGACCTTTCCCCCATGGCTCTGTAAGCACCCTTCACACACAAACTTCTAGACAGAAGAGCCAGTAACCATTTGAGAACTGCTCTAATTAATTACACACAGAAATAGACCCTGAGATTCCTGAATGCTGTATTATTTATTCATTTGGTTAGCTTCAATCAACTTTTCTACATACTGAATGAACGTGTAATTCATTCTACCAACTCTGGAGCAGGTGCTAGAGACTTCTTTCCAGGCTCTGCTTTCTCTGACCTTCATATCGTTTACAATTTTGGCTAGCCCTTAGGAGGATGTATAGCTTGCCTTTCAGAGTGAATTCTTTCTCTTCAGCTTAATTAATTGGTGGTATTAAAAAAAAAAAATCTACTCCCTTTTTCCCCCCTTCCCTCACCTTTCTGTGAACACAGAGCTGTTGATAATCAAGTCTACGTAGCTACAGTATCTCCTGCTAGAGACGAAAAAGCATCCTATGTTGCCTGGGGACACAGCACTGTAGTAAATCCATGGTGAGTTCAGAAAAAAAAAACCAAATCCACTTTTTCTTGGTTAAAAAAATGTTTTATGTAGTCACATTTCAGTCCCACATTTCCATCTACTCTTAAAAAATGTTGTAAGTTCCTGGTAAAAAGCACCTGAGACTTAAGCCTACATTCTCAAAATCATCCTTTAAAACTGTCTGACTGAAAGACAAGAAACTAAAACTAGTTTAACAGTATGTATTCTTTTTGGTAGCAAAGAAGATACTTAGTACTAGTATTTAGCATTAGTTAAGCTGCTGACCTTTTCAACTTCTCCCTGAAGTGCAGTCTATTATATACAATGCATGATGGTAATTCTCTGTGCAGAACTAAACCATCTTAAATAGCTTGCACAAAACTATTTCATTTCCTCAAAGAACAACACTGCTTTGACATAAGAAAGAACAAGAATGTCTTCAGCTAGATAAGAGACATATTCTAACTTAAGCAGAAGTCATGCAGGTGCACAGGAGGTAAAAGTGACCAAATCTTCAGGAAGTTATTTTCCTTTCAAATAAATCCACAGATAGTTCTCTTCCAGGTGATTGCAAAGTAAGAAAAGCTTTATCTATGTCTTGAGCTTTTAACTTTATATGATGAAAGCAGTGACAGAACACCTAGTGGGAGACATGATAAATAATGTGCAGTAGCTCATGCAGAGTGAAAGTATACTCCTATTAAAAGTCAGGAGGATCTGAAAGGAGAAAGTGTTAGTCTTTGCCATAGATGTTTGTCCCTGGTGAAGCTGTTTCTCTCCCTTTGAGGTATATTGCATGCTTACATGCACTGGTTCTCAGAGTTGCTCTTACCACGATTCTTGATCTTCAGAAACATACTTATGTTAAGTATGTATGTGTCACATATAAAATGTGCCACATATAAAGCCTGGAAGCTATTTCTATCATGCTAGAGTTACGAATTATGGTGCTATTTTTAGGACAGCCCTGTCTTTACAGCCATAGACATCAAGGGTAGGAACTCCCTTTTGTACGAACAGCAGCAACTGGACTGATGCCTTGAGACCTTTGTGTTAATGCTGTGAACAAATGTGCTTAATTTTGCAGGGGTGAAGTCATAGCCAAAGCTGGGGCTGAGGAAGCAGTTATATACACAGACATAGGTAAGGCTAAAAGTTTTTTTTTCCTGCTTTCTCTCTCAAGTACGGGTCATGAGTCTAAGAAGAAACAGTTTAAGTCTGTGGGCTTGCACATGCAATTACAGATGATGCAATGTTCCCATCCCTTCTCCACCTTTGCTAGATTAAATAAAGAACAAGCAGCACTTGACTATACTCTTCTAGCTTCCTTACTTATGAGGAAGCTGTCATCTTAGGAAAGAGCAAAGGTGAGGCTTCCTTCAGCCCTGGCTGCCCAGTTGCAGTGCCCTACAGACCCATTCTCCGTGAAAGCTGCTCTTTCCCTTGCCTTACCTCTGAGCAAGTCAGGAGCTTTCCTCTTTGATTGCTGTTCTAATAGTTCTTTCTTCCCCCCCCGCAGATTTGAAGAAACTTGCAGAAATACGTCAGCAAATTCCTATTTTAAGCCAGAAGCGTCATGATCTCTATGGCATAGAGATGAAAAAGTGAAGCTGGGTGAACAGGGAAGGTTCAGTTGGCACAATGGCTGCTGCTTTCATCTTCAAAAGGATTCCCTTACTAGTTGCTCCACAATCCACTGCTAAAGGTGCCAGTTAATAAAAAAAAAAAACCAAACCAAACCTTGGTGGTGCAATTCTAAAATTGATTCAAATACAACTTTTATATCTCCTCTCCTACTTCATTTTTTTCTAGTATTTTACAGCTAGGATAAAGATGGAGGTGAAATCAGTTCAACACAGTAGAAGTTGACATTGCTTTTTATGCATCACAATATTTTAGTTACCTTTTGGGGCCTTTTTTGTAGAACACAGAAATGGGAACCTTCTTCTCTCTGGAAATCCTCTGAAGTCAGCTTTGGTATTATGAATTTTTCGGTGAATTATTGGATAATCTAGAAGCATGATTCTTCCACTTTTGTCCTTTGTAGTTGTATATGCCTTAATAAATTTCTTTGAATGCCCAAGTTCTAACTTGGAAAGCTTAAAATTTAACACAGTAAGCAAAACAGGCCACATTCTGCTCTGTGCTACTTAAGGACAATTCAAGAAGCCGCCAGACAGAACTACTACTTCTAGAAGAATCTGTAACAGGTTTTGGTTCATGTATCTCGCCTGGAATATACATTACTAAATTCTCCTTATTGCAATTCCTGTTTATTACTGAAGTGATGCAGGTTACGGTTTTGTTAAAGCAATTCATGTGTCACCACACCTTTGCTCTATATACTGCTTCCTTTAATATAATGTCTGAATGGGCTTTAATTCTGCTGCCTGGCAGTCTTTACCTGAAAAGGCTGAGGGGAGTCAGTCAAAAGGGTTAGAAAACTTGTTGCACTGATTAAGTCCTTCTGCCCACAGTCTTCCAGAAGACAGGTACTAGAATTGCTCAATGTTTAAATGCATTATTGCTACCAAAGGCCACCTCCCATCAGCTGCATGGGAAACGCTCCTTACTTCATTGCTCTTGATGAAGAGATTTAAACTGATTATTAAAGATGGCTTTAAAATACTGAAAACCATCCTAGCATGGTGTAGTTTTGTTGTTTGGGTTTTTGTCTTAGAAGGAAGACACCTTGGTACTTCTAATGTAAAAAGATAAGCATTTGCAAATGGCTTTTTTTTTTCTCCTTGGGATGAAAAAAAGAAGCAACTATAACTATTCAGCCTTTACTACTAGGCTTTAGTTTTCCAGCAGTAAAAGTGATAAAAAGCGATAAGGCTAAAGATTTCAAAACACAAAAATGGGAGGAGGGAAAGAAGGTTTTGTCTTGCTCTACCGAACCACCAGTTTCCCCCAGACCCACCTTACCTTTTTATTCATGTTTGGACATCCTCCTTTTCCCACAACTGCTCTCTTGACTTTTTCTTTTTTTAATGTTCTTTTGATTTCTCTGGAATGAGCTAGGTGTATGTTTTATAGAGGAAAATCAATGGTTAAATTAAGCCACACCCTGAGGAATCTTTCCCCTCAAAAGACAGGTCACACCATTCCACTCAGTGGCATCATCTACTCCAGCAGGCATTTTTTGGTCTATAGTTTTCACTGCATTTTGGTGTACATACTGTACTGGAACTCTTAAGAAACAAGCCACAGAGCATAAGGTGAAACGAAGATTTATTTGTTGAAAAATAAATATAAAAAAATTAACAATTTACCATTTGAGTCAAGTCTCCTGCATTAGATTAGTGCCTCCCACATACTCAACAATCTGCATCCATGATGGCCATCACTGGGCTCCCACTTCTAACTGATAGCAACTATTATACATCCATTTTTCTAAACTACTCCATCTGTCTTTCCCTCCCCTCTCTATACTAGTTTAACATGCAGCAGAGCAAGAACTAAATACTACCTTTGGAGGACTAAAGCAGTGCAGGATTGTCATGGGCTGACCACTTAATTTAAAAAAATGCGAAGTGCAGTCTGCAACAGACAACAGAATCCGTGGCCGGGACCCTCCTCCCCTGGCATCCCAAATGAAGAGAATGGATGAAAAGCTGTAGCGAGCTACTTTGGTGCACTCGGCTGAAGAGGTGACATGAGCTCAGTCCTCTTCAGTCTGTCAGGACAACATCTAAGCACCTTGTTTTAGGAGGATCTTTTAGGGGTTTCCAGTGCAATCCACACAGAAGAGGACTCTGAATTTTGGGGGGTTTCAATGAAAAAAAGTACACAATCAGTTCTCCGCTAGATAATACTTGAAGCAGTCAATACTCAATCTCTGTGTTGGTAGAAAACAGGCACTTTAAGTATCCATATTACACATATGCACCAGTATTCTGTAAGTATACAAAACCAGCCAGTAACAACCCTGAAACAGCTCCAGAATTTCAGCCTGCAAGAATTTAATTTTTTTCTAAATAAATGGCAGAAAACACAGTAATGCCTGTTGTATTGGGCAGTGTTATTACCACTGCAGCTGGGAAGCCTGGTTAAAGCTGCACCTAAGCTGCTCTTAATAGTTCCAGAGTAAGTTACAGTACAGCTCCTTAGCATATGTTAGTTCCCTCTTCACTTTCAATCTGCAATTAGATCCTAGTAATGCAAGTCACAACTTCTAATCTCCATTTTGGCAAACTTGTCTCTAACATGAAAAACAGGGATTTTACATAATCAGAATTAAGACGCAAGACAACTACATCTAGAAGCAACTTCCCAGAGTCTCTGGGATACACCAGGTTTATCCAAGTCTTCAGTACTAGCTTCCTATCTTATTTCAACATTTATTTTTTTTAAATAGCAGTAATACTTATTTCACTTCAGCTCTCAATCCCCACTAAAGAAAGCTTTTCTCAAAGTCCACATGCCCACCTGGCTTAAAGCAAAACCTCAACTATATCAGCCATTTAAAAAAACCCAAATCCTTTCGCTAAAGGGATCCACCTGCATACACACATTAACAGGGTGTCAGCTACTCGGATTCCCAGCTTTCCTGGCTGGATTTCCTTTCCCCTGTAATCTTCAGCTCTCAAGATCATACCTCTGTGGGTGATGGAAGCAATCAGAGATAAGATGTGTTAATTCCAGGTCTCCTCCTCATTTTTTCTTGAAGGTTGAAGTGAGAGAAGATGACAGGGAGCCAGTCATTATTAGTTCTTCCTAGATTCAGGGCAACCTCAAATAAGCACAGAGAGCACCACTGCAGAGAACACTTTCATCAAAACCTGTTCTTATACATGTCAGAGAGAGATACTTGAAGGTAATATTTATTTTTTCCGTTTACAGGTGATACGTCATTTACAAAAAAAATTACAGACAATGCATCCTTTCAGTGCAGTTTCAAACTAGTTCAAGAACAGGCAAAAGTCTGATGATTTGGAATGCTAGTATTTGACAGCACATGCTTTTTTCCCTTAATTGATTGGGTGGGGTAAGGAATGGGGTACAGGTGGGGTGAAGAGGAGAAAATGCCAATGTAAATAAGGCCATGCGAATAAAAACTCCTCAGGAGAACAGGACAGATGCATCAGTCAATCTGGCATATTTTTGTTCTCAGGTAATTGATGCAGATTGGAAGTTCCAGAAGACATTTGACACTTGTTATGTGCAGTGCCCTTAGAAGCTGCCAGTACCTTCTAATGCCTTCAATTCCACACCAACACTTATTTCAGATCACCTACTGAGCTAACTAAAATAGAATTATTAAATCTTTATGTCTACTCTCCACCGTTTGAATTCTCAACTGTAGTTGCTGGGAGAAAGGAAGGTCAAGTTGAAAATACAAGCTGCTGCTATATGGTGGCACAACTAGAGAACAAGACAGTTTGACCACAGCATGGTTCATTTCTTTAAAAGATGAAATACATTAGACAATTCAGCACAAGCAAATCTATGATTTCAGGATGGAAAGAAGCCTAAATTAGTATATCGTAAATTAAGCTACATCAGTTAAGTATTTGCATGAGGTTTATCCAGCCACCTCAGTCCAGGGAGAGGCCAGATGGACCAACTGACTTCCATACCAGAAAGATCAACCCAAAAAAAGAGAGCCCTCTGTGAAGTTCCTAGCTAGAGGAAGACAGTTATTACTAGTATTTAATAATTTGCCAATCTGCTATTTGCAGAACAGTTGATTCCTTTCTACAGTATTTGTAATCTTGGATAAGACAGGGTCTAATGAACAAGGAAACCAGCAGAGATTCTAAATCCATTTTTTGAAGTTTTAGGCTATGCTTTGTTACTTACCTCACTTAATCCTGCAACGGGGCTATTACAAGGAGCAGATCAGAACACAGCAGTCTCTAGAGACTGAAGAGAATTTAGACTGTCTATTAGCTGTTACATTTAAGCGAGAGCATCAGAGATTACGAAGATTGTATGCAAGCATGACCTTACCTTGGCAGCTCTACTCCCAGCAGTGCTTTCTGTTCAAGTCCCTCTGAACCCCTCCAGAACAATTTCCTGGGACATTCAAGTAAGGACTGCTGCACAGGAACACAGCCTTTCTTACACTAAAACCTACACTGAAGCAGTGTTACCTGACCTCCTTCCCCAACCAACCTTTTTACTAGCTCTCCTATACAGTATGTTAGGGCTTTCTGGGGTGAGGATAAGGACTATCAAATTAATTCCCTAATAGCTGCCACAGGACTATTTCTAAGTAAGTTATGCAGAGGGTGAGAGGGGCTTTAAGGGAAGATTGTGCATGCTTGCATATATTTACAGGGATTCTCTCCACATCTACTGACTTAAAAAACCCCTCTATTATTAAACATTTTGAAAATTAATTTTTTCCTTTTTGCAAAATTAAAATCAACCCTCAAGGATTAATTGCATATAAAAAAGAAACCTATTTTACAGCACTGACTAGTATTACATTTAAAATCAACAGGAAAAAAACCCACATGCTGTAATATTGTTTGATAAAGCAAAAATCGCCCACAACATAATCACCCAAAATGAACCAGTGTGAAGTTTTTATTTGCATGGCCAAAGTATCTTCCATTTGTTCCCCTGCAGCTTTATTTCCCTTAACACGCTTTAAGGTTTTTGCTGCAGAAGGAACAAGATGCAACACTGCATACTTCCTTGAACAACCACTCCCACAACACCTAAACATTTAACAGATGTAGCAAATGACAACACCACGAACGGGAAAAAACTAAGTTCCACCATTCAACATGGTCTGCAACAGCATCTTTAGGGCTGGCTGAAGTGGGCAACTTTACTTTAGAAGGTCATTTCCTCCTCGTTTCTTTACAGTGTTGGTGGCTTCAATCCATACTTCTTTGCAACTTCTGTCTGGGCATAGGCAGCATCACAGAGTGAGTAGAGGTGGGCCATCTCCATTTCAGATTTGGCCAGGTTGATAGCTTTGTTGAACATTTCAATGGCTTTATCCAGATTACCTCTGAAATAAACCAAAATGTAGTCCAGTTAAGACTGGCAAAGCAATCTTTTCATCTCTACAGCATCTTTTTTCCTTCAGGACTTACACTCTCCACTACTAACAGCTTAAAAGGACTTCAGGAGGAACCACCACGAGAACTTGCGATGATGATGAATGAGCAAACCGAGAGAAGCTATTACCAAGCCTAAGCAACTAGGACAGCTTTAAACAGCCTTCCCCTTGAGAGCCCCCATGGGTGGTAGTGGGGGATAAAATGTTCTCCACAGGACACTAAGT